CAACAACAACAACAGAAATGCTGCTCACGCATTAACGGTGCCACGTTGTGATCATTCTGCTTTTCACTTAAAGGAATAAACATTTTATAAAATGTGTGACGAAGGATGTGAGCGGCTTCCACCTGTAACCCTTCTGATTGCACGATCGGCCACTGATTCAGATTCAGATGAATCACCGCCCCCCCCCCCCCTGGTCTACTCGCTCAGGTGATGGCGAGCGCTCTGAGTAACCGGACAGCAGCCAGTCACTTTCTGCCGAGCAGGTCCAGACACACCTCATCGCTGAGAAAACACAATGTCTGTTGTCAGGAACTCATTAATCGAGTATTAGTGTGTACTTTTCAGCTACTGTACAGTATTGACATTATCATATGTGTGTATGTAGCTGCTTTGGGGGGGGGGGTCATAAGTGGGCAACGGTTATCGACTTACATCATGTCCTCACTTGCTTTACTGCCACCATGTGTGTTGTGCAGATGTCACAACAGCCCCCGCCCCCCCTCCCTCAACGCCACTGTGAGAACGCCTCACCCCCTTGATTCCCAGACGTGGACACACCCAATTCACAGACTCACAACCAATGAAACGACATGCAAAGTGACTGTCAGTGTTCACCGGTGAGCTGGGTTTAACTGTCACTTTTCAAAATGATTTATCCGTTCGCCCGTGCATCTCGGCTCGTCGACTTCATGCGACAACCCGAGGCGCCATCTCCACTTTCCAATTGCCTCCACCGTTGTTATTTTAAATGTATTCTGCATTGGTAAAATAGAAAAAACTCACCCAGAACGTCCTGAGTGTAACCTACTGTGGATATATTTAAACACATACAACTTGACCCAGTGGAAGAAGCTCGGCCAAAATGCCAAATGCTCTCAAATCGGTGTCCTGATCTGATACATTTGAGACATCAGCGAAGCCTCCAGGCGTCTTTGACCCGCACCCCATGCGTCTCTCCCGCTCACAATGAGGCCTCGCCATCGCTGGCAGCGGATAATCCACTCATTTAATTTAAATTCTGAAGAAAGGCGTTGAGCTGAAAAGATAACGCTGTTGTTAGTCGAGGTCTTCAGGAGAACGGGACGTGATTAAGTCTGTTTTTCATCACAGGAGAAGGGTTGCACACAGAGGACGTGACGATATCACAACAAACAGTCATGTTGTGTCTGCAAGTAATGAGTCACAATATAATTTAATCAAATTTTAATAATACGTGTCTTTTACAAGAGAACCAGAACCAGATTCAGCTACATTAGAATCAGATTCTGGGGGTTAATTTGCAGCTTTTGCTACAACTGAGTCACTAGTTTTATAATTATTCATTGATAATTTGTCCCACTTAAAAGCGTGCGCGCATTCGGTTTTTTTGCCAGCATCAGCTGTGCACGTGGATTTAGCACTTCCTCGCATGCTGATGTGCGTAATGACACCAATGCAGGCCGCTGCTTCCCAGCAGCCCCTCTGTGTATTGCATCCAGGGCGTCTGTCACGCCTTTTTGATGTGTGTATTTTCTTTTCTTTGAGTGTGTATCTACTGCAAATCCATTGTGAACCACATAGACAATCCACTACCAAAGTGTCTGCGGGTCGACGAGCGCGTGTGAAGTGCTAATCGCCTCGTTGTCCGCACGCTGTGGCGCGCGGCCTTCGCTCGTCTCGCCTCAAAGCCGCGTTGCGTGTATTCCAGCCGCGAAGCGACTTTGATCACGTCTCCCTTGACGACTGCAGGGCGGGCACAATGGCGACCGCTGACGACCTGCGATGCAGAGACATTCAAGGGGCCACACAGGATGAGCAAAGCGCCCGCTGTCTGCAGGCAGAGGAGGGTGTCCGTAACCCACCTCGCCGTGTGTTACTCACTTGGACGCCGGCGCCTTTGAGGCCTTTTCAAAGCTGTTGAAAGAAGTCACACTCAGGCACGGGGACGAGTCTCACTGGTCGACACCGAAACTGGACGTTTATTGGCCAAAGTACAAAGGAGAAGTAAATGATGAGTGATAAACATGATGTAGCCCAATCCTGTAAATTGAGTCAAATATTAGATTTCTAATCATTAAACAGCTAAATTAGCTAAATCTTTTGGCCTTTTCAGTGTTCAATCCTTCGTTTGAATCCTTATCTTTTACACATCACAATGTCTCACACACACAGAGCCGATGTTGGGGAGTAAAAACAACAACAGCCCCCCCCCCCCCCTCTCTCTCCCTCTCGAGGGGGGGAGTTTAAACATTTTAGTTTATCTCAGGGAGAGGGAGGGGGGCAGTAGACAATCCGCCTTCGCCTCCGGGGTCCGTAAGAACTTTTCGGTGCCCCAATATATTCCCGACCTTCCCTCCCACCCTGCCCCTCCATGGAACCCCCCCCAGAGCGAAATTGGCGGCAACCCAGGGGTTGAGGTGGTTAACTCCCCCTGCCAAAACCCCTGAAACCAAACCCTTCGGGGGGGGGGGGGGGGGGGGGGGGACGCCCAGGAGAAGGACGAGAGACGTAGATGACTAACCCTGAGACGACAACGAGAGGAGGAGGACAGTTGCCTGAACTCCTGGGAACCTAAAACCTGTCCAGCACGGCCCTGGTGATTGCTCAACGTGCGCGCTGTTGTTGCACACCCTGAACCTGTGAGCGGTTGTGTTTACAACGTATGTATTGTGTGTGTGTGTGTGTGTGTGCATAACAGCATGCACTTGAGGTACGTTTCTGCTTCAGGAACCTTGCAGAGCAGATTTGGATTTAAATGAGAGACAGAGAGGTTGAGTGAGAGTTTGTTCCCCCATGAGGAGCCTGGTGGCCTCTCAGCACGTTGATCCCCACGGTGCTCCTGACCTTCACTCGGCCTCATGCCGAGCTGAACCGCACACACAGTGTGCACCTTTTGATTGACGGGGCGCGCGCTCCACAGTGGTCCCCGGCCCCCCAAAACGACTGAGGACACAAAGATGTCTCTTATCACTGTTGTTTTTGCGTTAAACATTTTCCACCTCACAGGGGTTTGTCTCACTTGTCACACTCTAAATAGAAATCTGTCCAACATGGGACGCTTTTCACATCACCTCCCCTACCAGCAGCAGATCACATTACATCACATGTCATTCAGCTGACGCTTTTATCCAGAGCGACTTACAATAAGTGTGTTCAACCATATGGATACAAACTCAGAAGAGCAAGAAACAAAGTGCAATTTCCTCAAATAAGCCGATCCAGCTTGTGCTGGAACCGACTGGTCCCTCGGGGTCAAAGTTCATCATCGGCCCCATTTCCTCGGGATGAGAACGCTGTGGCTTTTATCCGCGACCCGGCCCCAGACGGAGGATGTCACGTTTTGACCCGGCGACGATACGGCCTCTAGCAGAGCGAGCAGATCCCTGACGTATCGGGCAAAGTGTGAGTGTTTCTTTTTGTCCCGCTCACCCGTGACTCCGCGTGGGATGTCTCCTACGTCTCTCTCTCTCTCACGCTCACCTCACGTTGCTGCAGAAGCAACCCCCACCCCCTCCCCCCCGCGGCTTGCTTTAAAAACACCCCCGTTTTCATGCATGTTTCATGTTGTCACGGTTGCGCCTACCCGACGAATGTCAATCAAGTTCTACGCAACAAGGTGAGCAAGCAGCTCGCACTGCTGCAGCCGCTTTCCACGTCTCGAGCCGAACGCCACCAGCGGCCACGCGGACGCGATTAGAGGCGGTGGAGCCGAGGGGGCACAGCTGGAGGCCAGAGGTTGCTCATCGCAGACGCTTTTAGGGAAAGTACCCCGAGTGCTGATGGGGGATTTGGACTCCCGCGCCGCTCTCTGCGCCTTTTCAAACATCATAACATCCCGGGAAAGCCGCTCCAATGACACACAGGACACAGAAGCTATGGTTTGCACTTCTTTTATTTGCATGCCCTCACTCCCGCACGTGCAGAAATACATGCGGACGAAAAGGAGGGGACGGTAAAGCAAAGAGATTGGTGACAGCGATCGAAAAAAAACAACATAAACAAGACAAAACATACGTGTACATCAATGCAATAAAAGTCTCATCTAATATTTAATATACATATAAATGACAAATGATCCGTTTTAACAAACAGAATAGCGAATACATTAAGCAGACTTCCACAGGAAGTATAGTAGAGCCTTTCCGTGGCTCTTCTTCACACTCACTTTGTGACCTCAGGTCTTCACTTACATTAAAGTTAGCGGCCGTTTAGCGTCCTCTAACTGTGCACACTGGGCTGCTGAGGAGATAAGGAATGTATTGAGCCTGTAAACAAAGAGGAGCGAATAAAAAAAGCCAAGCCAGCGGTGCTGCTGAGAGGAGCCGCAGGGTGGAGGCCAAGACTCCTGCAGTGCCTGATTTTACAGATGCAGATTGGTGGGGGGGGCAACAAACAAAGGTTACCACTCCCACGGTCCTTTCACCCCACAGGACGTCTAGTTACGGTCCCTGTGCAACGCCTAGAACTAAGAAAGCGGAAAACGCCTTTATTCCTAAGAAATCAGCACTTTCTTTTTCTCGGCGTGGTTTAATAAAGTGAATCTATCTCACATCCACGATAATTCTCTTCCCAAAAAGGGGGGTCTCTGGGGGGGGGGGGGGGGGGTTGTCAGGCGAAGAAAAAGAAAATACACCGGTCGAAACCACCCACAGGAGCTTTCACACAGAGGCAACAATGTGGCACCTCGCACTGCGATCGCTACTTGCATATAAATAGGCTGTTGTCACCAGACGGCGAGAATACAACAGAGAAAAAGGCTAACGCCCATCAGCTAAGACCCTGGGCCCCGGAGCCAGGGCCCCGGACCCCGACTCAGGACCCCGGACCTGGGACCCAGACCCTGGGCGCGGGGGCCAGGGCCTCGGACCCGGGACCCAGAACCAGGGCCTCGGATCCTTTCCGCTTCTCTCCCTCTTGCGTTTAAGGCTGCAGGCGTTTTAAAGGCACCGCATGCAAATTCACCCCATTTACATGACGATGTGTGCTTTCTCTTTGTGGTGAAATGTTCCTTTAGAGTCTCAATTCACGGCCCGCCGGTGATGCGTACACATGAAAGCGTGCACTGACTTTGATTTTTAACATAACACATATGTTGTTGTTTTTTTTTTACATGGAACAATCGGCATGTGAATATAATGTAAACAAACTTTGCTTTCCTCAAAACCGGAAACCAGACCCAGAATCCTCTCTGCGGTCTCCACGGATGTTACTTCCCGCGTCCATCCGCGCTCATGGTTTGTTTCCCTTTGCGCCATTTGGCATCCCGGAGTAATAATGCTTAACGGGTAAGGATGCTAAACTGCCACCAATCAGAACCGGGACAGGAAGCAAAAGTAAAGGAGTTAAATAAGCGACATTTTTGTCCGCAACCCACAGGGTCGGCAGTCCGCTTTGGAGAGTTCAGATGAAGCAGAAGAACTTCTTCCAGCTGCACCTGGAGAAAGCTTTGGTGCGTCTGTCAGAAAACCTCCTCTTCTTGCACTTGCGAGATTTGTTCTTGATGGCGGCGAAAATGGCGGCGTCGAACGCCTCCTTCAGGTTCTTTTGCGTGAGCGAGGAGCACTCCACGTAGTCCGCCGCCCGGATCTTCTCGGCCAAGCCCCGGGCCCGGGAGCTCGGGATGGGCTTGACTTTGGACCGGTCCAGGTTGATGAGGACGTTGACGTCCGACAAGAGGTCCGACTGAGTCCCGACGAGGACGATGGGCGAGGACGGGTTGTGGGCCCGGATCTCTGAAACCCACTTCTTGGTGATGTTGTGAAAGGAGGTGGGGTTGACCACGCTGAAGCAAAGCAGGAAGACGTCCGTGTGGGCGTAGGACAGAGCCCTGAATCCGTCAAACTCCTCCTGAAATCGAGACACGGATCGCAGGTTAGCGTCGAGCGAGGCGACGGGAGACTGACTCACGGTAATTACGTTCATGGTGACATCGTGTTGTCACACAAAACATGAGTCACACAGCGGAGGAAAGCGATGAGATTCCTTTAGTTTCAGCTCTCATGACATCATCAAAGAAGAAAATCGGAATGTCGGCGTGTTTTTAAAATGAGGATTTTAAGCTGTCGAATTATACTTTGAGTCCATTCAGTGAATTCAACCCCAACAAACAGGTGACGAACAAGTAAATATGTTGGTATTTGTCAACACAGCGTCTTGGTGATAAAATAAAAATAAATAAATAAATAAAAAGGTCTTACCTGTCCAGCAGTGTCCAGAAGCTGAACTTTAACTGGGGATCCTTCAACTTGGACCTGACCTGTTGAAACCCAACAACATGAGTCAGTCAGCATCCCCTTGTTTCACTTTATTTCACACATTTAAAAGAAAACATTTCTAACCTCCAAGCAAAGACACCAGCATTCATGCCGATTCGTGTCACTGAGTGTCTACCGACTCCTTCCTATTACTTTATCCAGAATCTGACATGCATAAAATAAATGAATAATTCTGCTGCTCGATGCCTCACCGGAGAAGACGTCGAAGCCGGTCTGCTGGTACTCGGTCGGGTACCCGTTGGACGTGTAGCTGACGATCATGCTGGTCTTCCCGACGGCTCCGTCTCCCACCAGCATGCAGCTGATGACGCCGGGCTCCAGCTCGTCCTCCCCGGTCAGCCCGCAGGCGGAAGGGACTCGGGACTCGCGGTGGAAGTAATCCATGTGAGGTGGCATGTCGAGCCGCGCATTAAACACGTGTGAGAACGCGGCGGACGCTGCTGCTCCGCTGAGATCCGAGCGAGAGTCTGAGCGGAGACGGTCTGTCACGCTGAGGGAGGCTGAGTGACGGGCCACGTGTGCGGGAGGGGGCGGGGCCAGGGCCGCTTCCGATCTGCATAGACACGCCCACGGAGAAAAAGACGCTTAAAGAGAGCGATGCATAGACGCTTGTGAATAAAAAAAGCTTGTGATTCCCAACTAACTGTGAGATGAAAAAACAATTACAGTGCAGTAAAATAACATAAACACTTAAAAAAAAGCATCGTCATCCAGGTGAATGTGGGATTTATTCTAATCATGTGGTCAATGCTCTGTCATTCGTTCAGGCGCTCTGAGAGCGCGCTCACCGCGCCCCCTGGCGGCCGAACAGAAGCACCGCGTCACGCTGATCACATGATCGCGGGCGTCACCTGATTATCGGCGTCCACACTGTGTATGTGAGGTCGGAAGCTGCCGTTGCTTTCTGTACCAAAGTTAGCGCGAACGATTTAATGTCGGACGTTGCCGTGTTTGCTGCAACGTAAGGCAGTAAATCAACCCCCCCCCCCCTGACTGCCGTTTGTGTTCATGCGGGCAGAGGACGTACGGGTTGAGTTAGCTAGCTAGCTAACGTTAGCTAGCTATGGCGTACTAGCAGTGTCTCTTCGCCACCAAGTCACGTGTAGAGGAGTCATTTCAAGGCAGTGAAATAAGGCGAACCATAGAACGATGGCTTCGATTCTGGACGGGTACGAGGACTCGCAGAACACCAGGCAGAGTGCGCAGCAGCAAAGCCGCCTGTCGACCGCCAACATCGGGATCACGCATTCGGGTAGGTCGCTCTCGCCCGCGGGTGCGCTGCATGCGAGGATCGCCGTCGCGTTGACGCCGCACTTGTTCCCCCATGTTCGACCTAGGCTTTGTGAACGTGAGGCTCGAGGAAGAGAAGCCGATATTCAACAAGCAGAGGATCGACTTCACCCCTCCCGAGAGGATAAACCACCTCGCGGTGTGCAACAACCAGCTGTGCATGAGTCTGGGGAAGGACACCCTGCTGAGGTGAGACAGGGCATCGTCCCACAGCCTCCCAAAACGGATGTTAATACAGCTGATGGAATATATTGATGCCTCGTATTCTGTTCTGTGCAGGATTGACTTGGCCAAGCCCGATCAGCCCAACCAGATCGAATTAGGAAGGAAAGATGACAGTAAGGTGCACAGACTGTTCCTGGACCCCACTGGTGAGACAAAAAACACTTTATTCAGATTCTAATGTGAACATGTTGCCTATAAGGCTGTCGTTATTATGATCAGGCTTCACGTGATTCGACTTTCTATCCTGTTATGTGCTTTTTCCACTTCACATGACACTTGTTTTCAATTATTTCATCTAGTTCTATTTTTTAAGTGATTGAACAAAAACACCAGCACAACTGCAGCAACATCTTAAGGACTGAAATGCAACTAGAATATGTGGAAGATCACTGTATTATAGTGACTTCCTAACAATAGCGGTGTTTTTCAACCATATTTTCCCCGCTGCAGGCTCCCATCTGCTGATCTGCCTGAGCACCAGCGAGTGTCTGTACCTCAACAGGAACACGCAGAAGGTGCGCGGTTTGTCCCGCTGGAGGGGACACCTCATCGAAAGCGTGGCCTGGAACAAGCATCTGGGCAACGAGACCAGCACGGGACCGGTTTTGGTCGGCACCAGTCAGGGCATCATCTTCGAGGCGGAGATCTCGGCGACTGAGGGCAGCCTGTTCAACACCAATCCGGATCAATACTTCAGACAGGTGGTAGCCCGTGCGGTCGTCCAAAATACTGCCTCGTACGTCTTCCTATATTTCCCGGCATCACGTTGTCTTTCTGCGTCAGGTCCACTCCCTGGAGGAGGATGGGAAGCCCGCACCCGTCTGCTGCCTGGAGGTGGAGCGGGGCCTGGAGAACAAGTACTTCATCATCGCCACCACCCGCAAGCGCCTGTTCCAGTTCGTGGGCAAGGTGGCCGAGGGCTCGGAGCAGCAGGGCTTCAGCTCCATCTTCAGCCAGAACCACGACCTGCTGCCCAGCTTCCAGGAGTTCCCGGCCAACATGGGCTACAGCGAGATCACCTTTTACACCTCCAAGCTGCGGACTTCCCCGAAGGCGTTCGCCTGGATGATGGGTAATGGAGTTCTCTACGGTCAGCTGGACTACGTCCGGCCCGATTCCCTGCTGAGTGATGTGCAGGTAAATGTCTCTACGTGTGAGAAGGTTTCTCTATCAACTCAAACAAATTATTCCTTTTCTCAACAATGTTCATTTCCACCCTAGCGACATATATTCACGTACTCGTTCTCCATATTTTCTCCCTCGCAATAAAACAGGTGTGGGATTACACCCCCGACATCGACCTGAGTCTCAACAAGCCCATCTCCATTGTGCTGACACAGTTCCACTTCCTGCTGCTGCTCCACGACCGAGTTAAAGCCATCTGCACCCTGAACGGACAGGTGGTGTACGAGGACGTGTTCCCAGATAAATTCGGCGCCCTCAAGAAGATGATCAAGGACCCCGTGGGCGGCTTGGTGTGGATCTACACCGAGCGGGCGGTTTTCCGCTACCACATCCAGCGCGAGTCCAGGGACGTGTGGCAGATGTACATGAGCATGTCCAAGTTCGACCTGGCCAAGGAGTACTGCCGAGACCGCCCGGAGTGCATGGACATGGTGCTGGCCAAGGAGGCGGAGCACTGCTTCCAGAACAAGCGGTACCTGGAGAGCGCCAAGTGCTACGCCCTGACGCAGAACTACTTCGAAGAGATCGCGCTCAAGTTCATCGAGGCCAAACAGGAGGAAGCCCTGAAGGAGTTCCTGCTGAAGAAGCTGAACAATTTGAAAGCCAGCGAGAGGACGCAGATCACCTTGCTGGTCACCTGGCTGGCCGAGCTCTACCTGAACCGGCTCGGCCAGCTGGAGAGCGACGGCAACGCCGTCGCCTTCAAGGAGACGCGCGACGAGTTCCACCAATTTCTCTGCAACGGCAAGCACAAGGACTGCCTGTTCAACAACCGCAGCACCATCTACGACCTGCTGGCCAGCCACGGCAACGTGGACGACATGGTTTACTTCTCGGTCGTCATGCAGGACTACGAGCGGGTGATATCGCACTACTGCCAGCACGACGACTACGGCGCGGCCCTGGACGTGCTCTCGAAGCACTGCGACCAGAAGCTTTTTTACAAGTTCTCCCCCGTCCTCATGCAGCACATTCCCAAAAAGGTGGTGGACGCGTGGATCCAGATGGGCAAGCGGCTGGACCCGAAGAAGCTCATCCCGGCTCTGATGAACTACAGCCAGATGGGCAGCACCCAGCAGATCAGCGAGACCATCCGCTACATGGAGTTCTGCGTGTACGAGCTGACCGTGACGGAGGAGGCCATCCACAACTACCTGCTGTCCCTCTACGCCAAGTACAAGCCGGACTCTCTGCTGTGGTACCTGGAGCAGGCGGGCACGCGCGCCTCAGAGATCCACTACGACTTGAAGTACGCCCTCAGGCTGTGCGCGGAAAACGGCTACCTGCGGGCCTGCGTCCTGGTCTACAGGATCATGGAGCTGTACGAAGAGGCCGTGGATCTCGCCTTACAAGTAAGTGCTCGGCACGTCGATGGACATGAAGCCGATGCAGAACAATGTCTGAATCATCGAGGCCGTAACCGATTTGACAAATGCAGCCAACTTGCAATGCGTTTACTGTCCATAGGTAGATGTGGACTTGGCCAAGTCATGCGCGGACCTGCCCGAAGACGACGAGGAGCTGAGGAAAAAGCTTTGGCTGAAGATCGCCCGGCACGTGGTGCAGGAGGAGAAAGATGTGAAGAAAGCCATGAACTGTCTGTCCAGCTGCAACCTGCTCAAGATCGAAGACATCCTGCCCTTCTTCCCAGACTTTGTCACCATCGACCATTTTAAGGTACGTGATGGAACATGAACACAAACAATTTACATTTTACTGACTGTGGTCGTAGTTCTGGGTGTCTCCTATAATCCCTGCTCGATGCCATGTATTCAATGTACGGCTAACACGCAAATGAACGCACTTTACCGGCTTGTCAGGAGGCCATCTGCAGCTCCCTGGAGGAGTACAACCAGCACATCGACGAGCTGAAACAGGAAATGGAGGAGGCCACGGAGAGCGCCAAGCGCATCCGAGAAGACATCCAGGAGATGAGGAACAAATACGGCGTAGTGGATTCCCAGGAAAAGTGTGCCGCTTGTGAATTCCCGTTGCTCAACAGGCCTTTCTACCTGTTCCTATGCGGACACATGTTCCACTACGACTGCCTGTTCCAGGTAATGATGGCTGTGTACCGCATTATTAATAATGATTAAAGATTGCCAAACCACATTTGTGGAGTTACAATTCCTCCTGAGTCCCTCTTTTAATTTATATTCTTCTACCTTCTAGGAAGTCACCCCTCACCTGACGCCCTTTAAGCAGAGTCGTCTGGAGGAACTGCAGAAGAAGCTGGCCGCGGCCGCCCCGTCCTCCAAGTCTCGACACCGGCCGGCGGCCAAGGACGAAGGAGACACCGGCAGCCTGGGGAAGGGCAGCGCGGGCACGAGTCGCGAGCAGATCAAATCGGACATGGACGACATCATTGCGTCCGAATGCGTGTACTGCGGCGAGCTGATGATCAAGACCATCGACAAGCCTTTCATTGACCCAGAGAGATTTGAGGAGGAGAAATCCAGCTGGCTATGAGCGAGGCCTCCCCTCGATGTGAAGAGACACGGCAGCCCCCCCCCCTACCTGATATGTCAATGAAACGTCAGCATCCACAGGACCCGTTCAGTGGAAGCAGACATTCACCCGATTGCCTGTCACTAGTGCCGCATCCCAAAAAAACTTCTTTTGTTGGCCATATGTGGAGCTGATTTAAAGACCGTTGCACTTAATGTGGGAGTGTTTAGTAGGAGGCTGGACATTGGCAAATTATACAAGAGGATGTGATAATCGCAATTAACTAAATTATGTTATGCACTTCAACGACTCAAGCTCTGTTTAATCTTACAGTTCATGTGTGGCAAATCGTCAAACTTTTATTTCACGTTTCCTGTTTTGCAATTCAATTGTGGATTATTAAAGCTTGTCAACAAGGATGAACTGGTTACTCTCATTGAACCTTTAACACATTTATTTGAACTAGACTGACTGAGAAATCAGAATCCTTCCTCGCAGTTCCTCAGGGGGCTTCTACAGCTGCCTGAGACCGACAAAATAACAGCTTATCAGCAAGCAGAAGCAGGTCATGCACAGCACCATACTTAGCACCACAGGCTGCGTGACTAACTTGTGGTTTGGTGTAAACTGTGTTGAGCACGACTTGAGTTCAGATTACTGTTACAGAAAGCATGTTCGGATCCCAAACAGCACCATTAAACGTATTTTGTACATCACATAATTGTCAAAAAAAGTCTCAACATATTTATTAATTTGGGTGTAAAAAACTACTTTTAACTCTTGACATTACAATAACTTCACAAACTGTCACCTTTTACTCAGGTTACTCAGCTGCCTCACCATACCTAAAACGGAGTTCCCGTCTGGTGACGTCAGACGCAGCTCGGTAATCTTCGCAGTGGGCAGACTCTATTAATCGACATCGGGATTTCATCGATGCGCTTGTGTTCGTTGTGCATAAACGACCGTAAATGGCGCACACGGACCGGTGTAGGCTTTGGCGAATAAAAGAATGATATCTCCGGGATCTCTTGTCACAGTCGTGTCCTCTGAGACGTCGACGAGCGAGCGTCCCTGTCTCTGTGATTGATTATATCTCCTGCTCCTTGCTGTACCCTCGCCATGGCGTCGTGTCTCTGCTCTCTCAGTAACAGAAAGTGGCCGCCTCTCTGCTGTTGCTGCCGACTCAAAGCTCGCAGACTCGCTCGGCGCCTCAAACCGCCATTTTGGAGTCAGATAACCGAGAGTCGGCAGCAGCAGAGAGAGAGACGAAAAGGGGGACACGGGGCTGAGGTGAGAGACTCCTCGGTGGATCTTATGGCGAAGGAGCAATGGGGGAAGATGGCCGGGAGGGAGAAAGAATTAAAACATGGGGATCATTCGTTCACCAGGCAACCGAGTCCCCGCTCGTATCCGCAACTCGAGCACGAGAGGCGCCCGCGGCGGGCCTTGCTGCCGCCGCGCCGCCACTAGCCTGTTTACGAATGGCCATTACACCAAAATATCATCTAAATACATTGTTTAGGCGGGGAGGTAGTGGCCTTAAAGAGACAGGGCCGATTTGAATACTTCACATTAATGGCGTGAGAGGACGTCTGTGTCCAGACGAGTGTTAGATAAGCCAACGTTTGTGGCGGAAAAGCCCAACTGGAAAAGCGATAGCTAGGGACAGTGGTAACAAAGGCTAAACGTGTAAGACATAACAAAACAACAACAACGCGAGTATATGTCGCTGGCGTGGTTTACTCAAAGCTGTCAGTGCGCGTCTCGCTCCCCGACCCTTTGCTATCAACGGTAGGAGGCAATGCTGCTGCTCGTGCTCACAGAGCGAGGCAGCTAACGACCGTTAGCCTGCGAGCTACAACGCAGTGCACCGTCCAAGGTTAGCTAGCGAGCCCGGGCTAACGCTAGCACGAATAAGCTAGCTGGCTGGTGGTCACAGTAACGGCGCGTTAGCAAAAGGTGATACACATTATTTATAATATCACGGCGTATTTAATTAAGACGATTGAGAGCCTTGCTCTTGGCTTGGGTTTTTTTTGTGGGGCGGGGGTTAGTGCTCGTCATCCTCTCACGCACAAAACGGTGAACTTGTCTCTGAAAGTAAAGTGAATATGTAATGAGTCGTTATTACTGATGATGCATTGTTAAAACAATCACTTGTACGATGAAAAAACAACTCGTGCAATGCAGCAATACGTGCTCACAAACTCACGTTCAGTATGGGTTTAGTGAAATTACACGAGGTGGATGTTTGCAGACTGATGAACTGATATGACTGATGAGTAAATAGTTATGTCGTATGATGACATTGTGATACAAACAAGAGCTAAAAAATAAATAGAAAACATTAACTTTAGATTAGAATCATGACAGCAAATAATGTACAATTAAAATAAGTATAATGCTGCACACGCTTTCGTTTTTTTCTGTGCTTTACTATTTATTTTATATTTTTACATTTATAAATAAAACATTTGTCAAAAAGTTCCTGAAAAAAAAAACACTTTGATATTGTCCCGTGGAGATCAGTGTGTGACCACGGACTTCTTCTCTTGTAGGGGATCTTCACCACTGTCTGATCATTAATCTTGGACTCAAGAACAATGGGATCCTTTACTGAGAAGGTAGGGCCACGGTTTATACTGCATTCTGCTCAACCAACCAGTGACAAACTGCATGCCCGGCCATCGGGGGAGAGCATTCCGATATTTGAATTAAATGGACATTTAATGCCTCCAGCTCTCGATGTGGTTCTGCTGATTTTCATTCAACAGCAGAGCAAAACACATCCCATAGTTCACGCTGTCCTGTGGTGCTCATCCCTACCTAGAGCCGCCTCTTCCTGTCTCCTCTCTACTTTCTCCCTCTCCAGTAAAAGCTGCTGCCCTGCTGGGCAGAGGTGTCCGTGGTCCATGGCGTCGGGGCATGGTGGTCGCCCGGAGGCCGGGGCCCCGGGGAGCTCCGGCCTGGCCAAACCGCTCCACCTGCAGCGCTTGGAGAGATCCCTGAGGTTGGACAGCTTCCTGCGCCAGACCGCCATCATCTTCAACAGGGACGTGACCAGGTAAAAGATGTCTCGTCCTCGGATCAAACTTTCATTTTACCTGTAAACCATCAAGTAGCTGCTCATTAGCATCTAAAGTTATACCGCCACGCCTCGGGTTCAGTCGGATAGGAGGCAAAGAGTGAGCTCACCGCTGCGCGCTTCTCGTGTTCTAGTGACGACAGCGACGACAGCGACGGCGCGCTGGGGACGGGGCTGTCCCTCGACCCCTCCCTCGGTCAGCACATGGGTGTGACCGTGAAGAGTGAGTCATGTGAGCAAGAGGACAGGTTGTCAGAGGGGAAGCCCCTCAACGGCGGGCTGCTGCAGGTTAAAGGTCAGATACGTGCAGTGTAAAGTGTCGCTGCACGCTGGTGTACTTCAACATGGGAGACGTAGCTCATGCATGTAAATGTGATTTATTTTGTGTTTCCACTGTGAACTCCACAGACCAAAAGGCCGATAAAACGAACCTCTACAATTTTTCCAAGCTGAAGAAGAACAGGAAGTGGCTCAAGGTAATGAAACGGACATATTCTCCATTGTACTTTAGAGTAAAGCCTTGGTAGATTACACAATGTATTAAATAATAAGGCCCAGTGCCGGCGCGCTTTCTCACGCCCTCCACATCTGCCGCGATCCCTCTGCGTTCTGTAACGGCGTTGCCGCTCCGTCTCCTGCAGAGTATTCTGTTGAGCGACGACACCACGGACTCAGACACCGACTCGGATGACTCTGACTTCAGCTTGTCCCGGGAGGAGCTGCACGACATGCTGCGCTTACATCGCTACACCCGGCAGCATCAGAGCAAGTTCCACTCTGACCGGGAGGTACAAACGCACACAGATGCACACGCACACATACGCAGTGCCTTACGTATGTGGGTTTTTTTTTTTGTCCGTGTACACTTACACGTATGTCTGTGTATATTTCTCCTACAGCTTCACCAATACCAGTACTACAGCACCGGACTCCTCTCCACCCATGACCCGTTCTATGAGCAGCAGCGCCACCTACAGGGCCCGAAGAAGAAGAAAATCAAAGATGAGAAGAAATTCAAGGGTAAAGGTCAAAAATAAGGAATCTCTGGGACATGTCGGCGGCGTGAGTTGACGAGCTTTCAAATATCGACAAGTCATTTTACTTTCAAAAAAATGTATTTTTTTCATTTTTAGCCAAACTCAAAAAAGTAAAGAAGAAAAAGAAGCGGGGAGAGGGAGACTTTCTGGATGACGGCCGTCCTTATGTCCACAAGATCTTTGCAAAGTTTTCCCACGACGCCCCGCTGCCCGCCGTGAAGAAGAAGCATCTCACGGTCGAGCAGCTGAATGCGCGGCGGCGTAAGGTCTGGCTCACCATCGCCAAAAAGGAAATTCCCAAGGTCCGAATGCACCACCCTGACAAGGACTCCCTGACAAGTAAACGTGAAGTACCATTATTGAAAGTCCTAATTAACCCGTCATACTTATTCCTCAGAACTTCAAGCAGAAGACCTCTGCTAAGAACCTAGTACTGACCAATGCTAAAAAGGTGAGCTACCTGTGTTAAAAATCCCCTTTTTAAAGATGAATCGTAGATGGTGTTTAACACCCGACCTCTGCTTTCTTTTCTTTTCTCCCAGTTGGCTCATCAGTGCATGAGAGAGGTTCGCCGGGCAGCCATCCAGGCCCAGAAGAACTGCAAGGAGACGCTGCCCCGCGCCCGCCGCCTCACCAAGGAGATGATGCTTTACTGGAAGAAGTACGACAAAGTGGAGAAGGAGCACAGGAAGAGGGCGGAGAAGGAGGCCCTGGAGCAACGCAAGCTGGACGAAGAGATGAGAGAAGTAGGTGGAATTCAAAACGTTTGCGACAGTGCTGAAAAACGTGGCGTCGTAAAGGTCTCCAGATACATCGCGCTGAACATCTCGATGGCGTGATGTGAAAAGCGGTCCCTCTCGTCCCCCGCAGGCCAAGCGTCAGCAGCGTAAGCTGAATTTCCTCATCACCCAGACCGAGCTGTACGCCCACTTCATGGGCGGCAAAGCCAGCACGGCGGGGCCGGGCGGGGAGATGTCCCAGGAGGACATTCTGAAGAAGCTGGAGGACTCTGCGGCTCACAGACAGATTGACATTGGGGGCGGCGTCATGGTCAACATGGGACAGGAGGACTACGGTGGGAACAGCCTATATAACGAATATTTAGTTGTTTATCAGGCAATAGACATGAACATATTCTTTAAAACCTATTTGAGACTGTTTTGTTCGGCAACGGAAATGTGAGGTTTCATTTGTTTTGTCAGCTGATTGTATATTTCATTTCAGACAGTGAATTCTACAAGTCCCAGGCCCTGAGGAACGCCAAAGAAGCCTTCCAGATCCATCAAGAGAGAGTAAGTTAACGCGCACGCGCGCTCTCACAGGTGCCCTCATCCCACACACACACACACACACACACACTATACAGCGCTAATCTCCGAATCTCTCGGCGCAGACGCGCATGTTCGACGAGGAGGCGAAGGACAGCCGCAGCGCGTCTGTGCGCGTCGCCGGCCCGTCCTCGGGCGCCGGCTCCGGGTTCGGAGAGAGCTACAGCCTCGCCAACCCGTCTATCCACGCAGGGGAGGAAATCCCCCAGCCCAGCATCTTCAACGGCAAACTCAAGGGGTACCAACTCAAGGGCATGAACTGGCTGGCCAACCTCTACGAGCAGGTACACGCGAACGCCTCTGGTATCCGGAGGCCTGGATGAGGTTTATTCTCATTCGGATTTTTCTTTCAGTCCTTTCGGCCGTCATTATGTTTGAAACATTAGACGTGTATTGAGAAACAACTGTTTTTATTTTGAGCAATTATGTTATTCACTTACTCTCTTTGGCTTTCCCCTCCCTCTGCAGGGAATCAATGGAATCCTGGCGGACGAGATGGGCCTGGGGAAGACGGTGCAGAGTATTGCCCTGCTGGCACACTTGGCCGAGGTGAGCGAGTGACCGGGCCGAAGGCTTCCCACCCACCGCACTCTGTGGAACGTTCCATTGTCTGCGCTGTTGTCGCCGACTGGCGAAAAACATCACACATCCAGCGTCTTTTGTGCACCTGCATCCTTTTAAAGAGTCCCTTGTTTTTCTGGCTCTGGAGTTCATCGACTTATTTCATTGTTGTGAATTGGCCGGCTCTTTCGACTCGTTTGGTCTCAGATCGCCGAAAGGAGAAAAACTTGAATTTAGGGGAAATGTGTTCTTTTTCAGTGTTGCTCTATCGCTCGCAGGAAGTCGCATGCCGTGTTCCTGCGGGGCTTCCTGTTATCGGGTGCACACACACACACACACACACACAGAGACCACCTGCTGTGACTGCTAACGCCGTATTCCCTCGTCTTGTTCCTGCACAGAAAGACAACATCTGGGGTCCGTTCCTGATCATATCTCCTGCATCCACGCTCAACAACTGGCACCAGGAGTTCACCCGCTTTGTGCCCAAATTCAAGGTGAGTGTCCTCAACGCCGTTGAGTGAGCGCGCCAGCGGGAAACACCTGCAAAAAAAAAAAAAACGAACACCCAAAAAACACGCGACAGCGGGGATCCTGGCAGCCTCGATTTCACCGCCGCCTTTAGTCGTTCACGCTCTGCAAATGAAGCCGGTGCTGCGTCGCTCTTGTTAAAGATAATGTCTTACATCTAACGAATAATTAGGATAAAGTGCTCTAAGCTGCAAGCGTGTCTATAAGCATCCACTAGGGGGCAGTGTTGCACTTGGACTGCAGCTGGTTACGAATGACTCCGAAGCTTTTAGCACGAAATATTTTTTCCACGTCTCAGCCGGCTGTGTGCGTTCTTGAATGTTCCAAAAAAAAGTCGTATCAAACACATCAATGTGTCTCTATGATTGTTCGAAGCACTTACACACACACACACACACACACACACGCTGTAATATGAACAGCTCTTTACTGTGCTCAACACTCAGACTTTTTCCCATTCTCCCGCTGACTTTGAAAATAAATCAATTCCAGTCTGTTTCGCTAATGGGGTGAGAAAAGACCCCATTACACAACCCGGAGATAAGCTTCCTGAACACTCAAAGCAAGACCGACTGCAAACAATGGAATGGCGGCGAGCGTTGAATGATGTAATGAAGTGTAAATCTTTTCACATCGCGTTCCGCATCAACGACCCCGCGGCCGAAGCTGCGATTCGCCTCGGTGTTTCCCCGTTTCCATCGCGCCGCTTAGATTGAAAGTCACGTGGCGTTCATTGTCTTCGCTCCTGTTTTGAACTAAACACGAATTCCCCGCCAGGTGTTGCCGTACTGGGGGAATCCACACGATCGCAAAGTCATTCGGAAATTTTGGAGCCAGGTAAGGAGGCGCCGTGCTTTATCGTATTTGCTCATAGGTCCCTCTTCTTCACAGCTTTCAACCCCTCGTCTCTTCTTCCCACAGAAAACCCTTTACACTCAAAATGCACCGTTCCATGTGGTGATCACCAGCTACCAGCTGGTGGTCCAGGACGTCAAGTACTTCCAGAGGGTCAAATGGCAGTACATGGTTCTGGATGAGGCGCAGGCACTGAAAAGCAGCACTAGGTAAAGCAATAAAAAACCCACCATCAGCCGCTAGTTTCCCACGTAAACTGTCCGGACCGCTTCCCTATACTTACTCACCGTAGTTCTGTTTTTACTAACTTCACAAACGAGAAACCCTGAGACCCGTGACGGTGAGTCTGAAGGTTCCCGGTGCTGACGCGGCTTCTTTTAAAGACTTTTCACATGTGAGGAATCTGCCTCACAGACCCGTTTTTTCCCCCCATGTCTTCCTTCAGCGTTCGGTGGAAAATCCTTCTGCAGTTCCAGTGTCGAAACCGACTTCTGCTCACTGGGACGCCCATCCAGAACACTATGGCTGAGGTGACTAGTGTGTGTGTCTCTGTGTGTGTGTGTGAGAGCTGCACAGAGCTGATGTGTGTCATTACTGTCTCTCAGCTGTGGGCCCTGCTGCACTTCATCATGCCGACGTTGTTTGACTCCCACGAAGAGTTCAACGAGTGGTTCTCCAAGGACATCGAGAGCCACGCCGAGAACAAGTCCGCCATCGACGAGAGTGAGTGACCTTTTCCTTTCTCTCTTGTCGGGTGTTGCGTTGAACCCCTGGGCTCTGCTCAGCGTCGTGCGTAATCACACCATTGCGTGATGTTTGTGTTTCAGACCAGCTCTCCAGACTGCACATGATCCTCAAGCCTTTCATGCTGCGCAGAATCAAGAAGGACGTGGAAAACGAGCTCTCGGACAAGGTGGGGGAGCCGACTATACATTTTGCTGCCCAGTTGGACTCTGGGGTGTCTGTCTGGTCTCACACACACACACACACACACACACACCGGCTCATACGCCGTCTCCATTTCCTTCACAACTAAAAGCAGTGGTGCCAGCCCACTTCCTCCTCCTCCTCCTCCTCTTCCTCTCCACCGGTCGCTTTTTTCTACGAGTAGTAGAAGTTCACTCGTGGTTCACGGTTTGGTTTTTAGGGTCTGTTGACTGTTCAGTTTCACCAACCGCATCAAAGCAGTGACTCCAGATACGAGCTGAGGCTTTGATGGGTGTTTGAAGGATGTGGGTCGAGCTGGGCACGAGTTCTGCACCCATAGACCACGTGGCTGCACTTAATGCAGCAGTACTGCTGAATCATTTGTCTGTGGTGTGGCCACAAATCAAACTTTTCGCCAAGCCGAGAATGTTTTCATTGAAACTTGCCGTCGTAAAACACCAAACGCTGCTTCAAGAACAACACAGAGGCTATTTACCGTTAGTTATCGGCCCAGTGGATATATCATTTAATACTGGAATCATTCCGTTTTGAAAACATGTAATTGGTAACGACGTGTTACTGCTCATGCAAGAACCTCCCAAATCATCTCCTCCTTTTTGCCTCCTCTGGCAGGTTTGTGTGCGTCTTCGGTTTTAAGAGCTTTCACACACTTACTCACTGCGCGCTCCCTGCACAGATCGAGATCCTGACCTACTGCCAGCTGACGTCCCGCCAGAGGCTGCTCTACCAGGCCCTGAGGAACAAGATCTCCATCGAGGATCTGCTGCAGTCCTCCATGGGCACGGCCCAGCAGTCGCACACCACCACCTCCTCCCTCATGAACCTGGTCATGCAGTTCAGGAAGGTGAAGGAGTTATGGTTATTTATTCGGACGCGGCAGTCCCGGCGATGGATAACTGCCATTGGCTAAAGATTTCAGGCCCATTTGAGGCATAATAAACACTCTGATTTTCAAAGGATGTTTCAGAAGTACTAATAACACTGCACTTTATGAGTGGGAATCACGTTTGGGAAGTAATAAATGAATTGGAGCACGATGCCATTTTATTTTTCTTGAACGCACACTGACTGTGTGAACTTGTAGGTGTGTAACCACCCGGACCTGTTTGAGCGCCAGGAGACGCGCTCCCCCTTCCACATGTCCCTCAAGCCCTACGCCATGTCCAAGTTCCTTTTCCGTCACGGCCTCGTCCACGCGCACAACAACGCCAGAAACAAGTACGTGTGTCCACAACAAGCCACCAAAGAAAAGGACGAGCACGTCCGTCACAATGTCCCACACGTGTTGTTTTGAATAGGCTTCGATATGTGTTTCAAATTGCTGCATCTGTTAACACTTTGCATCCAATGTGGGTCAGACTGGAATCCCACAATCATCACTTGGTGACATTCAGTGGTTTAACTCGATCCGTCTCTGCTTCCTCCTCAGGTTACTTCAAGTGCTGCTGTCTCCCTTCTCCCCAAATCACATCCAGCAGTCTCTCTTTCACAGAAAAGGTGAGCACGTATTCATCTCTGAATTCAGATACTCTGATCGCACCAAGAGTGTCAAACCTCAGCTTCACCCCGGGGGGCCTCCTCTCTCCTCCTCTCCCCTCCTCTCTCCTCCTCCTCCTCCTCCGATCGCTACTTCCTCTTCCTTGTTATCTCCATTTATGCACTTATTATATTCTTCACTCTGTTCCGTCCTCCAGGTGATGACAAAGGAAGCTGTTTCTCCTTCCTGCGCTTCATCGACGTGTCCCCGGCTGAGATGTCCAATCTCATGTTGCGAGGCACCTTAGTAAGGTAAGCCTTCAGCGTCCCCCGTCACATGATTAATAATGGTGGCAGCGGAATTTTCAATAAGTTATAAGGGCTAAGAATAATTTCTTTTTTCCCTTTGTTCCCCAGATGGTTAGCCCTTTTTCTCTCGCTCAAAGCCGCGTATCGGCTCCACCACCGGCGCCTCTTCGGCCTCGACGGCGAGGCCCAGGAGGTGGCCGCTGGCTCACGGGGGGAGACGGGGAGCAAGTGTCTGTCTCGCCAGGACCTCATTCTGTGGCTGGACAGACCCACCAACTTCCCGAACGCGCACACCAGCCCCGTCGTCCAGGTGAGACGAAAAAAAAAAGAGTAGTAATACTATTTAGTTGAATTGATGGGGCGGGAAAAGCGACTTCTTCAGCACCTCAGAGGCTCTATCGCCGCTTCCAGGGTCTCCGATCGTCTTGTTGGAGGTGTGGATCAGTTTAAACGTCTTGTCTTGCGGCACCGCGGGACGTTTGTCAGTTCAGTAGCTCAGGATGAACGCAGCGTGCCGCAGCAGTTCTTCTCGACTTCACTTAAATGCTTTCGTATGTGTCGGAGTCTGCAGCTTCGGAAAAACTGCATCGAGGCGCCCCGCGTTTTGTATCATTTGGCGAGGACGAGGCGGCTGAAAGCCGCGGTGCCAGTTCGAATACACCGAACACCTCCAGCGGCTGTGAGCAGCGCCGGCCTGGCAGACGCGCTGCGTTTGAGTCTCTAGTCTCTAGTTGAAACAACTATAAAGGGGCACAATTGCGGCATCCATTTCACCACAATTTCAAAGGTTACCTTGTGGGGGTGAAAATGCCTGTCGGGGGTATATCCCTTCCTCTTCCTCTTCTCTGGGCTCCTCCCACACGGAGCCCGGGAACGGTTCTTAGTTTCCGCCCCCCCCCCCTCCCCGGAGCGGCTCAGGTAATGAAAGAGCAGCTCATTCTAAAACGCAAGTTAAAATGCAAAAAGAAAAGAAAAAACTTTAAAAAGCAACTGGAGAGCTACTACTGTGGAACCGCGCTGAGCCCCAGACCCCCCCCCCCCCCCCGCAGGGAGTCCAGCTCTTCCAGCTCCTCGCCTTTTCTTTTGAAGCGGCGTGCAGCCGCCTGGCCCCCGTCTCTCCGGCTGTGTTCCACGCCGCGTGGTCCGCTTTGCTCAAAGCTTCCCCGCTGCTGCCTTTGACGATCTGAGAGAACCGGGTGGACTTGCGCTGTTTTTTTTTGGGAGGGGGGGCTTTGAATGGTCTCTCTGTCCGTCCGAATCGGTCCTTCTGTCCATCAAAAGCGTCTAAATGGTCTTATGCCAGAATAATAATTCTCCCATTTGTGCAAAGTAAGTAAAGCTCTGCCATGAGGTGGCGCTGTGGGTCCACAGAGACCACTGCATCATAAACACGAGTTATCCAATATTATGCTTGTGTGTGTGTACAGGATCATGTAAGCTGCATAATCATAGATTTTACGTCACGCTTTAAGCACTTAGTTTCATAACATTTAAACCAAAGCAGGAAATCAATGTGTCTTTTTTTCAAATTGCTATCAATTTAATACTGTGAGCCTCTCGGATGTAATCAACGCTTAATGAAACCCGGGTAGTAACATTCTCCTGCGCGCTTGTTTTCAGGACCTGGTGTTCACAGCCTTACGACCCGGCATGATGGGACACACGGACGTAAAGATCCACAGTCGAAACTCTTCCAGCTCTACGCTGCGGCCCTGCCAGCCCACGCTGCCCCCCAAGTTCCTGCTGGCCGCCACTCCCAGGGTAGGTGTGTGTGTGTGTGTGTGTGTGTGTGTGTCGGGGGGAGTGGCCCAATAAAGGCGCTCTTGCATGTCCTCTGTGTGTGTGTGTTGACCCGTGCATGACAGACAAGCATTTGGGTGGTCTTGGAAAGGGAAGAGGGGAAGCGCTGCGCACGTTTAGTATTCTTTCAACAATGAGCACCTCTTATCTGTGTGTGTTTGACTGTGTGTGTGTGTGTGTGTGTGTGTAGGGGCGACCCGCTTCGGCTTCCAGCTGCATTTAAAACAAACACAGACTATTAAAAAAAAAAAAGGGCTTCTCGCTCAGGTTGTTAACCAGTAGTCAAGCTTCCTCTTGCCCCCCCCCTCCTATCCATAAACACACACACACACACCTACACAGACAGAACCTGCTGATTCAGTGAAATCAGCCTTTGTTTCCCTCCTTCTCTACGCAAGTACACATCCAGGTGGTGTAAATTCACTGGTTCATAAAAATAATGTCTCAAAAACGCTTTGACCAATGGAAATGTATTTCTCAGCGGTATTAACACGCGTGCTCGAAACGTGCTTCCGGCCTTCCACGCAACGTTTTCCTCCGTGTGTTTCGCATGCGGACAACCCCTCGTCTTCCTCTGCGGTTTCCTAGGTGACGGCAGTTCCCATGGAGCGCTACTGTGACGACCGCAGCGCGGAGTACGAGTGGCGGGTGACGCGCGGCGGAGGGGGCAGCGTCTTCAAGCAGTGTTTCCTCCACGGCTCCCCGGAACTCGCCGCGGACTGGCTCGCCAGGGCCAACACCTTCCACCCACAGTGCCCTGGGGGCGTGATGGCCCTCTACCCCCGGCACGGCTGGTCCTTCATCCGGATCCCCGGTGAGGAGGGTTGCGTCCGTGTGTTTGTATGGGACGGGCTAACGCGGCGCTACGTAGCTAATGGGTACATAAGACCAGAGTAGATAAAGCATACCGGGCGATTTCCTTTACGGTGTGAATACAGGCGCCGTGTGTGTGTGTGTGTGTGTGTGTTTGCGCTCACGAGAACCTCTGTGGGAGGAGCCGGGGGGGGTCAGCCGGAGCACAGAGCTGATTCTCTGCCAGAGCTCCGATGACTGATGGATGTCCCGGGTGAGAGAGGCCGTCACAGACTTACAGACAACACTTCCCGTCCCACCGACCCGCTCTGCCTCCGCTGAACTGTCTCATGGATTGCGGTGACCTTTTTTGTGTGGCAAGCGACCAGCGTTCCAGGCACAGAAAAAAAAAAAAAAAAAAACGGAAGCATGTGTACTTTTCCCTGCTTGTCGTTTGATAAGCCTGCAATACACTCGTTGCAATACGCGCCTCTTCTACCCATCTGTGCGTTCAGTGTGCGTACAAAGAGTGTTTGTGTGTAAAAGTGCGAAGCAAATTTGTGTGTGTGTGTGTGTGTGAGAACAGTCTTGAAAGCTCTTGTGAAGTTAAACGGAGGCAGACAAAGCGAGGAAGTTTAGCTACTGGTCATTGTTCAAGTGCTTAGTTAGGTAACACTCAGCGATGGTGTGTGTGTGTGTGTGTGTGTGTGTGTGTGTGTGTGTGTGTGTGTGTGCGCACCATCGGGTCCATTGGGGGAGTCGTGCAGCGCTCACACGGGGACCTGAGGTGTCCCCCCCCCCACACACACACACACTCTCCCACGCTCGGCCGGGACGAGCCTCACCTCCGTCTCTCTCTCTCTCTCTCTCCCCCCGCGCTAACGGACGGGACCGGGCGCTGGTCTGGGATCGGCCCTCTGGCCCGCGTTGCCTCTCTCTCCGTCCCGTCTGGTCTCCCACTTGTTTCTCAGCCCCGGGAGGAAGGAAGTGACCCGGCGCTGCGGCACCCGTCCTCCGCCTGAACACATTGTTGCCACATCAAGGCCCAGATGTGTACAGCGGCCCGGCCGAAGTTTCCCAGCCTCCCTCTCCGCCGCGCTCTCAGCCCCACACCTTGTTAGAACAAATGGCAGAGCCCGATGACTGTTTGTTTTGAGCGCCATGGCGTGAGCACGGCTGCCCACGATATCGACCGAGGAATCTAATCAGAGGCGTTAGTAAGACTCGGGGGCCGCGCAGGAGGAAAAAACAATCCAGGCCGGAATGCCTGGGATTTATTTGCGTTTGATGTTGATGTTGTGGCCGAATTCCCCCCGAGGGAAGATGTTTTTCCTTCTGAAGACGACGAGCTTCTTATATAATACGGCCCTTCTCTCTGCTCGTCGTTGGAGAGTCTAGTCGTGCAACTTGTGTTTACTGTCTATATATCGATGCATGTCTGTGCATCAATCAGACCACAACAGGGAGGCTGGGGGGGGGGGCTCACGTCAGGCTGTTGGAAATGCAGTCCTGCCTTCCTGTCCCTTCAAAGGAACCACGTTCTCCGGCAAAATGGCAGGAAGACGGCCGTGTGACTCGCCCCCCCCCCTCTCGCTGGGCATTGAGTCCGCAGCCTGCAGAAGCAAAAAAAACTCCAGCCAAGTGCGTAAAGGGTTGGAGGTGTGTTTTGCCTCCCCAGTCTGATGCGTGTCTGCCGGCGTCTTTTACAGCGCCGGTCCCAAGGCAGACTGAAGGGGGAGACATTAGCCACATTATACCTACGCCATGACACCTTTTCTTTTTTTTGAGGGTGGGGGCCCACCGGTGCCCGTCTCTCTCTCTCTCTCTCTCCGTCACCGAGGGTTAACCAGCAGCGATCCGTCTTAATGACACATGGTGTCATGGAGGTCACGTGGGGGGGGGACGGCGATGTGTTGACCAACATGCTCCACCCACAAACGGACCTTATCGGTCGTCCGCCGGCACATCTCGGGCCTTTGGGGCGGGACGCGTGTTTCCTACGTTCCCACGTTCTCTCTCTTTTAATCCGTATCGTCCGCGTCCAGAAGCTCCCCGCCGGCATCTGGCTCTTAGCCGCGCTGACGCTGCAGCTGCGAAGGAAAATTAAGTTTGAGTCTTGATTTTTGTCGATACGCGCAGAGGCGGCAGAGGAGCGCCGGGCTAATATTTCCACCACCGGCGGTGCCGAACAAGTGTTGCCCGTTGACATATTGATCGGCCAGTGTAATGTGTCATTATACAGTGAGGGGGGCTGCCGCTCCATTCGATCGCTGGCTCGACCCGCCCCGTGCCCCCCCCATCTGTCTCTCTTTCTCACATAACCGTCCATCCGTCTTCCTTCATCCGCCCCGGACTCTTTCGCTGTTCGTCTTCTCCTCCGTCCCCGTCACATCTGGTCTCACGCGCGTCCCACCCCTCAGTCTCTCGGCTTTTTTGGGCCAGCAGAGGGGACGGGAGAGGACCGTGGACGGGAGATGGCCCGTGCCGTGTTAATGAAATTAGCGGCGTCGTTGGTTCGGGAGCATCAGGCGCCAGGCGCCGGGGCCGGGCCGGGGTTAATTAGCTGGCAGCAGGCCTCTTAATTGGGTCAGGACCGTGTCAGGCCCCTGGCTCTGGCCCTACAGGGATTGGATTACACTGCCGGGGGACAGACAGCAGGGGGAGGGAGAGAGGGTGTGGGGGCTAGGGGAGTGTAGCTTAATCTGCCAGCAGGAGGTAAGGATGGGAGGAGGAGGTGGAGGAGGAGGAGGGGGCAAGGCAGGTGGTGAAGCTTGATATGTGTATCCATAGCAACAGCAGAGTGGTGTGACACCACTCGGGAGTTGCTTGTGTTTGGGGTGTGTCCTCTACGCAGCCCGTCCCCCGTTTGAAAGTTAGTGTTCTTTTATCAGGCGAAGTTATTTAAATCCAGGTTTCATTTCACGTCTGTCTCCTATACGACGGGTCCCGGGGGGCTCGCTGCGTTCACACAGTTCCTCCATAGCGCCCAGCGGGTTGCGCGTGCACACGTGTCCCTTTTGGATTCCGTCGGCGTGTTACATCCAGCTCGCTCACGTGGTGGTGACCTCCGGTCGACCCGCTGCTGCCACGTGTAGATCTTGATGTCAGACCTCCAGAGACCCCAAATTGTTTTTCCTGGCTCCGCAGCGATGTTTAGAAACGGGGGATTTTTCTAAATGCAGCTCTTGCGACTCGGCCCGTGAAGCCTCGCGGCCGGGCTCCGGGGACAAGGTCCAAAGAGGTCTGAGAATGCAGCATCTCGATCGAGCAGAAAACGTGGGAGATGTCGGCGCTGTGGTCACAGATGAATCGCCGAGCGGCTCTCCGGTTAATGGTCGCCTTCATAATCCAGGCAGAAACAAAGGGATTATCCCGACCGACATGTCTCTTAATGCAGAAATAATAGTATTTAACTGCTTAATATGGGATTTTCAGCCCCTTCAAGAATGAGATTAAATGCATAGAGCGCTCAGTCCTGGGCCGGGGGCTCTGACGCTTCTTCAAACGGGACACGGGAGTCTGGAGGCTTAGCGATAATCCGCTGAGCAGAACCCGATGGGCGGCAGGGCCTCATGTGAGCGTTCTGCGCCTTTGCCAAGTGGCGGTCTGCGTCTGGGGGGGGGCTGCCTGGTGCCTTCCTCCGAGCCGTTCTTTTAGTTTTTTCTTTATTCGACTGGCACCTGTGGTGAGGACGCTGGAGGCCACGCTGAGTTTAACCACGACATCACCGCTGCCGCGCGAGGAGGGGAGGGGGGGGGGGGGGGGGCCTGGCGGCGGCGCTTTCCCCACCGCACATCACCTCACCTCTAATCCCCCGCGCGCCTCGCTTCCTTTTGGCTCCGCGGTCGCCCCACTTTCTCGACGCCACGGCCAATTACTGGCCCGCGACGGCGGGACGCGGCGTCTCCTGAGGTCTCTGGCCACATCAGTCCGTCACAACTGCCAACCTGGTAAATCCAGAGGCAAGTCGGGTCGGGTTTAGATTTAGTTCACTGGCACATTCGGGTGTTTTTAAGGTCCAGTTTGCCTTCTTTTCGCCGCCTTTTTCAGTAAACTTCGTCTCAGCTATTTTCATTTACTGAGAATGTTCACGAGGGACGACAGCGATGGGGGAAAGCACTTTGTCTGCATTAGAGGGGGAGGGCTGGGCCGGGGGGGGGGGGGGCATGTTAAAGGGGCACAGGTCAGGGTTCAGTCTGAGTCCTCACTAGCGTAGAATGCTACTGGTGTAGTGTGGTGCGATAATCCAGCACATTCTAGCACGGGCTATTATTTATGTATATATATATATATATACATATGTATATTTGTATCTTTACATGATGATTCCTAATCCGGGCTTTACGCGTATCTCTGCAGGAAGTCGAAGTCGCGTTCTTGTGTTTTATTGCAGGTTCTGACCGCGTGTTTTGGATTAATGGAACGGCATCTTAACCCGGTTGGTTACATTACACTGACAAAGCAAGGAAACAGGACTGGGAAATATTTATAAGCCCACGTTTCCAGCTCACAAAAGGGGGCTTGGGAACAAGTGTCCGACCCCGAGTGCGAGACTCTCCCACAGGGACCCCCGACCCAGTCACCTGACCCCGGGTTCTCCCCGCTCGGGGTCACGACCCTGTGGTCAAACACCATAGTGTGCCTGTCGTCGGGTCGATGCCGGCGCCGCCCCCCCCTTTTTCTGCCATTGTGCCAGATGACGTTAATTCCTCATCAGCTGCGCGTGGAAGGGACCACTTCAGCAGCAGACCCCGGGTCAGATTGCTCTCGGCGGTCGGTCGGGGGTCGTTTGAGGGCCGCAGGGCACCCGGCGCGCTGCTGGCAGCGCCGTGGCCCGTGACCAACCGGCCGGGCCTGTTTGTTCGTCCTTTGTGCCTTTTGTGTGAGATGGAGAATAAATCACTTTTCTCACAATTTCTCTGTCTTTCATGTTCTCTCTCTCTCTCTCTCTCTCTCTCTCTCTCTGTGTCTCTCGTCCATTCTCCATCACTCTGAGCTCTCATCAGCAGTGCAGTCAATAAGGACACGTGCTTTATTTAAACAATCACCAGATTAGAGACAGATTTAGGAGTATTGATCCCCAGGATGAGCCTCTCTGGTGTGAAAGGGTCTTTATCCTTGAGAGTACAGTCTTATTGAAGACTCGTATTGATCAGGAAACAGTTACTAACCTTTGAATCGATTGGGATGCTCGTCTGTATTCCGCCAGTAAGCGGACGTATTATGAAAGATATCAGGTCAAAAACAATGCAGAGAAAGTGATAGAATATATATTATATATATATTTAATGCTCTCAAAGCACAAGCTCACACAGTTGGATGATGTCATTCATTTCTGGGTTTCAGATAAGGAGAGCCTCATCACGGAAAGTGGGAAGCTCCACACCTTGGACGTCCTGCTGAGCCGGCTGAAGGCCCACGGCCACAGAGTGCTCATCTACTCGCAGATGACCCGCATGATCGACCTACTGGAGGTATGAACGCACACACACACACACACACACACACACACACACACACACACACACACAGGGGACTCTACTGAAACTTATATTAACTTTGATTTTAGTTTCGACGGCTCCCACTAGCGAGGCTGCCTCTCGTTAGCCGGCTAGTTAACGGGTCAGGGCTAATTAGCGGGGTCTCACGCAGCCAGATGGGAGGGATGAGGCGAGGTGGGGGGGTAAAAGGGGACGATGGGAGGGGCTAGGGCCTCGGGGTGAGAGGAGAGAGACAACGGTTGTTTTTTAGGCAGGGAGGAACACTTTTACCTCCAGAGGGTAAGTGAGCTAAGCTGCCTTGAAGTCCACACACACGCGTCAGCGTAATGAGGTCATCGACGGACACGACCGCGAGACGCCGTCCATGCTAAACATCACCGCGGGGCCAGAAGCCTCTGGCATGACGTCGCTGGGAAACCCTTCCCCAGTCACACTGATGGCAGACGGACCCGGGTGGGTTCGGTCTGCCTGTAACTGTTTAAGGTCGCAGGAAAACGCAAAGGGGGGGGGCGTGTCCGAGACGGCGTGCGTTGACCCTTCTGGTCCCAACTTCTTTGAGGTGTTTTTTCCAGCTTGAAATAAGGATGAGCTGCTTTCTGCTGTGTTCTCCAGGTTGCGATGAGGTCATCATACGGCGTGAGTGCATTCTGCAGATGGAGTTGATTTTCTGAACGGGAGTCCGGGGGGGAGACGAGGAGGGTGAGGGAGTTGGGGGAGTTTGGGGGAGGGCCGACGCTAATCTGTGTCATTAGCGTTGGTGTTTTTGTCGCCGGCCGGCCGCCCGGCTTCTTCTGGTGACGTCTTCGGATGACGGATCGCTGAGCTGCGGGTGGCCCCCCGCAGAGAGGAAATAACAACGCTGAGTTTCTCTGGCAGCGGCCGACAGCCGAGGCCTCACACGACGCCGTCCCGTAAACGGACTTTGAGAGAAATCAAGTAGTTCTGCTGCTTGATGCTGTAGATGTTCCTCTCTGTGTTCTCGGGTGGGGAACCGAAGTAACTGCTATTAATGCGCGCGCTGTTTCTTGACTTCGGGCGCTCGTTATTGTTCAGGAAGCTGTCACGGTTTCACCTTTTCTAAGAGCCGGTTGTGTGAAGCTTTTTCAAATTCATTCGCGCAGAGACACGATCTTAAACGGGATGGAGGGAAAACGTCTCTCTCCTCCCATCCGTCACGTCGGGTCTGTTGTTTCCGCAACGGGCTGCAGACCGCCGGCTGGACGGCTTGAACCTCGCACACTTCGACCAGTCGCGGGCCAGACTAAGGAACGCATAAAGAACCCGGGAAACACCCCAGATACAAAGAAGTGTCACTAGTGATTAACAGCAACCCAAACAAACTCCCCGGGTAAATTGCCAGCTGTTGAGGTAAAGATTGCAGGCAGCGGCCTCGCAGAGAAAGTCCAGCCCGGGTCCAGACGGGCCCTAAATCACGTCGCCTGAAGGCCGCAGAGATTGTAGCCGACCCCCGAAGCCTCGGACCTACTTCTCGCCTCGGCGTTCAGGCGGATGAGTTTTTCTTTTGTCTTTTTCGCTGAGATCACGTTGGCGTTCCGACGCTTCCTGTTCGAGCAACAATATCCGCAGCATCCTGCTGGCCGGCCGTCAAAACCCACGCCAACGAGGTTAGCGGCGTTTTGGCGAGCACCGGGCTAATGGCCCCTAATGGGGTGTTCACTCAGAGCAGATGGGGCTGCCGGGAACAGAGCCGGGAGGGCGAGCCCTGCCGGGACTGAGCCCCCCCCCCCGACCCACCCCGAGTCATGGCGGGGGTTTGGAGGGTCACAGGAAACATGCCGTGGAATCATTGATATCATGGTTAATGATTGCCAGAGGTGCGCCCTGATGTGCGCCAGTACTCGCGGCTGGTTGAGCGGATTGGGGGTGGGGGAGTGCGGGGGGGGGAGGAGGAGGGGGGGCGCTGAGATGTTTGAGCGAGGAGGTCGGGGGTTCAGGGCAGCGCTTAAAGAGAGATCAACATGTCACCTCATCACTGCTGTTGCACTTACAGGACCCCTCCCGTCAGACCTAACTACCCCCCCCCTCCCCAGACACACACACACACACACAGCTCAGCAGACATTTGGGGGGATTGAGTTTCAAGTGTTGCTGTTCTGTGTGTCTCTCCGGGCCGTGATTGAGGTTTTAACTCCGGCAAATGTGCACAAGATAATGTGTGTTTTTATATTTCGGACTCGGCGGTTTTGTTGACTGTCTGTCAACCTGCGTTGGCGATTAGTGTCCGTCGACCCTCAGGACTCTGCAAGTAGACCTGCGGGGGCTTATTGACTTCAGAAGAGCAGTTTGGGAGCTCCGTGCAGCTCTGGCTCCACTTATTGTCATTACAGCGGCTTTAGGAGTAACTGATCTCACATGACAACTCGTGCATAGCAAGCGCTTTTTTAATGTGGCCATTTTTGGTCTCTGTCTTGGGTTTCCTCCCGTCCCCCCAGGAGTACATGGTCTACCGTAAGCACACCTACATGCGCCTCGATGGATCCTCCAAGATATCTGAGCGCAGGGACATGGTGGCCGACTTCCAGAGCCGGTGGGTAAAGATGGATATGATCCACAGCGCGTGTGTGTGTGTGTGTGTGAACCAAACACCGGCCTTTCGCCACTAACTAACTTTAAATCCGCCGTTTTGTACATTTGCTCATATCTATTTGTGTGTGTCCCCGTCCTCCCCCTGTAGGACGGACATCTTTGTCTTCCTGCTGAGTACGCGGGCCGGAGGCCTCGGCATCAATCTGACTGCCGCTGACACGGTGAGTCATCGACACCCCGACGGGGAAAACACTTCCAAGCCCGAGGCGTCCAAACGCTGCAGCGTACATTCCCTGCAGAGAGCCAGTTAATAACGCTCTGATGATCATTGTGACGTTAAAGGGAAAAGTTTGTTGTTCTGCAGGTCATCTTCTACGACAGCGACTGGAACCCCACGGTGGACCAGCAGGCCATGGACCGAGCTCACCGGCTGGGTCAGACCAAGCAGGTCACCGTCTATCGCCTCATCTGCCAGGGCTCCATCGAGGAGAGGATCCTGCAGCGCGCCAAGGAGAAGAGCGAGGTCTGCGGCGCAAAGCCACCAATCCCAGTAAACCCAGACAAAATGATGTTAATTACCATCGCTTTTCTTCCTTTGTGCAATAAGATCCAAAGGGTGGTCATCTCCGGGGGCAACTTCAAACCGGACACGCTGAAACCCAAAGAGGTGGTCAGCCTGCTGCTGGACGACGACGAGCTGGAGAAGAAACGTCAGTATTTTGCGTTTTGAGTTTCGGGTTCTTTGCTCGGCAGCCAAGAAGAAAGCAATAAAAAGAAAAATGCTGTAATCCCGTATTTCACCCAGTGCGTCAGAGGCAGGACGAGAAGAGGCAGCTGGAAGAGTGCAGCAAGGTGAAGGAGCGCAAGAGGAAGAGGGAGAAGTACGCCGAGAAGGTACGGTACCTGCAGGGACCTCCAACGGGGCTGAATCCCCCGCGGTGTGTGGGTGTTTTCCAATATTCCTCATGTACAGTGATTAGTTTGTCCTTACAGGGAAGCCAGATGAAAAGGATTTGCCCGCTCGGCGTCCAGGAGTGGGAGAAAATTGAATGGAAATTTGTTTGAGGGGCCGTTGTGTCACCAACACCTGTTTTTAACCAGCAGAAGAAGAACGAGGACTCGGAGACCAAGAAGAAGAAGGAGGTGAACCTGGTCATCTCTCACGCGCCCTCGGCCGACAACTCCAACCTGTCGGCGGACGGAGACGACTCCTTCGTCAGCGCGGAGATGGACTCGGCCATGCCCAGTCCCTTCAGCGAGGTGAGGCAGGCTATGAAAAGTGAGGAAGAGGAGGAAGAATCCACAGAACCTTTTTGGGGTTTATGTCTCCTCTTCCTCCCTTACTTCCTACTTCCTTCTTACATCGTTCCCCCATTTGTTTGCTGACCCCGTGCCTCTGTGTGTGTGTGTGTGTGTGTGTGTGTGTGTGCGTGTGTGTGTGTGTGTGTGTGTGTGTGTGTGTGTGCGCGCGCGCGCCCCACGGCCAGATCTCCCTGAGCAGCGAGCTCCAGCCCGGCTCGTTACCGCCGGACGCCGACGAGAGCAGCAGCGACATGCTGGTGATCGTGGACGACGCGGCGTCCTCCGCGCCGCAGTCCCGCGCCACCAACTCGCCGTCGTCCGTGTCGGGATCCGTCTCGGACAACATGAACGGTGAGCGCGAGGAAGACTGAAGTGGGCCGTCGTGGCACAGGGGGTAGAGCGGGCGCGCTGGGAGCCGCAAAGGTTGGTGGTTCGAGTCCCGGCTGCCCCCATGACGCCCAATTGCTCCTAAAAGCTAAATGACCTGTAATGTAAAGTGGAAACAAGTCGTGCGTTACCCTCACGTGCACCGCGCAGGTGATTGTTTCGACTTACGGGCGTTTCTTTGGACGTTTCGCCGCGTTCTGCTCATCGAGACGCACCGCGGCGAGGTAATCCCTCCTAAATGCTCGCTGCGCCGTCGAAAACCCATGTGGGATTTTCGTTAAGAGGCTCCTGCCAGGAAAGAGAGGAACGGCAGTTACTGCCTGCGGAGTCGGCTTTGTGATGACCGCTTGGAACGAGGGAGGAAGAGAGACTGCAGGATTTGTCCTGTGTGGCCGGAGGTTTGTCTCCTCTCTCCTCACACAACGGGGGGTCAGCGCGTGCATGGAAACATGCGTAGAAGATGTGAGGGCGGGATTAAGCACGTTAGCAGTGAGGCGAGCGCTGGCTCTAGTTCTGCAAACTCTTTGGAAAATGAGGGCGCCGTTGTGGTTCTTGCCGTAGCCTGTACTTACAGGACCAGTGGTAATTCTTCAGCATTACAGGAAAGCGATCACGTCCGCGTCCTCCGTCCACAATGTGACATCGTGCAGTCGGACCATTTCTCACGTTTTCGCCCCTTAATGCGCCTGCGTTCCCTCCTCAGGCGTTTCGGCCTCGGAAACCATCAGTCCCGGCAGAGGCCGGTCCGGGCGGAGTCGGGGGCGGCCCAAAGGCTCCGGCGGCGGGTCGAAGTCGGGCGGGAAGGGGCGCGGGCGCAAGTCAACGGCGGGCAGCGCGGCGGCCATGGCGGGAGCGATGGCCGGCGCGGCGGCCGCGTCTGCAGCAGCCTACGCCGCGTACGGTTACAGCGTCTCCAAAGGTCAGCACGCACACACACACACACACACATACGCGCACACACACACACACATATTAAGCCTGCCTCTGTCTGTCCCACCTCCCAGCAGGCCTCGCCGCCTCCAGCCCCCTGCAGCCCTCCCTGGGCCGGTCCGGTACTAGCCCCGCCTTCAACCCCAGCAGGAGCTCCTCCCCCCAGGCCAAAGGAGGCGCCTCCACGCCGAGCCCCCACAAACAGCTGACCCACAGCCACCACCACAGCAGCCACGGCGCAGTCAGGAAGGGCAAGGGCCCCGGTGGTCCCGGGGCGCGATGATGCAAACCGCACACGCACACACACACACACACACACACACAGGTCGATGACTGACCTACTCTCACTGTGATCCCCACAGACGCCTACACTGAATACAGTTTAAATGCCGTAACAGAGTTCCACTACCTGGCAGACGATCCTGCGTCTCAACTGAAATGACCCTTCACACACACACACACACACACACACACACACACACACACACACACACACACACACCGGCCTCCACACTTCTTGGTTCTGTTTTGTTTTACTGTGTCCGGGTCAGTGGGCAGAAATCCGCCCGGAGCGTTTGCTGTTTGCAAGAGAAGACGGGCGGCACTTTTCCCACTGAAGTCGGGAAACTCGCTGAGACGTTACAACGTAAGAGGTGAACCGACACGTGTAGCGTAAAGGGCTTGGAAATGTTTCAGGGAGGCGAAGGAGCGACTGTCGAATGCACTGAGCGGCGTCTTCCGTTTCTTTTCTCTTTGTGTTGTTGGTGATTCTCACTCGTGTAAATGAGGTTATTTAATTGTGGTGTAGATGTGCTCAGTGCACCTTGCCGACCCCACACTTTACCAAACAATATGCCGACAGCTTTTCTACTAAAGCGCCTATTTTTGTAATGGAGGATGTGCGTGAGGACTCGAACCAACAGGAAAATCTTTTGTCCGTAAAATGTTTTCCCGCACAGACTGAAATTTAAAATCGCTGATATATATATTTTTTCTTTCTCCAAGTGGAAAATGAATGAATGGATGATGTGAAGATAATATTCCCAATCGAGGAGTACTGGTTGATCCGGCAATGCTGCTAACCGTAAATTTATGAATTCACTCGGATTATTTGGTTGTCTTTAAGTTATTTGAGTTATATTAAAACAGAATGGACAATTCATGATGGTTGCGAATGGCGTATTCACCTGTAAAAACTGTGTAAATTGTACCGAAGCCATTTTTATTTTCCCGAACATGCTTTCTGTGATTGGGGAGTCGGCGGTTCGCTTCCATGTTTTAGGAACACAAATTTCACAGTCCTCCGTTGAGCACTACATCTGTTATAGGCGTGTTTGTTTTGTGTTAATCGTGTGATTAAAGTGCGATGTTCTATATTGCTGTACATAAAGGTGAGAGCGACGTTTCCTTTGGCTTTTCCCTCATTTGCCTGTCTATTTTTATAGGTCATGTGTACATATGAAGAAATGCGTCCGCCATTTTACTAACAGGAGGAGCTAACTGAAAATAAAAGAGTTAAGACTTAATCAGCCGTCCTGCGTGTTTTCAATCATTTTGTTTGTTGTGGTCATTGTACTTTTCTCACGTGAACCAGTTTTGTTGTCCAGCGAGGCTCAAAAGGACGGATACACAAAAAATACCTTTCATACCTGCACAGGTTTGTGCAGCTTTGCTCACGTTTTATAAACTTCAGAAGAAGAATTCCATCTAACTTCACACCCACAGGTCACATTCAGACATAACAAGTTACAAGAATGCAAACTGGAGTCTTTGCAGGAACAACGTCCCTGTTGCTCAAGACCTGTGGACGCTTTTCATTGGAACTACTTTCTCCTGAAGAAATAGTCCCCACGAACCTCAGTAGTTGGAAATAGTGTTTTTGTGTTGCTGTTGAGGTTTCCTAATATATATTTTAATTTCTTTCACTAACCAAAACCAAGTGCTGTTTAGCCCCATTGTGTCATGGACGGCGGTGCAGATTTCTTTCTTGAATCTTGAATAAATCGCCCCCCAATCGAGGCGGTGCACTTTCAATCAGGTGGGTTGTGCGGCCTAAGAAGTCCACACTCTGAAGTGCACCGGAACGGACGCCAGCATGTCCTCACGTGGTTTGCTGAGATTCCATCTAGATGAGCAACCTCGGGCAGCGTGTTCTTCCCGGTGCCCTCTGACATGACCGCTGAGCACACTGTAAACACAGGACTTCCAGTCCCCGGCCCGCGGTTACATAAGCCCCTGAGAGAGAGAGATGGACTCTCGCCTTGAATCCCGGCCAGCGGTTGGGAGTGTCCTGCATGTTTGTTTACGAGTACACGGTTCCGAAAGGCTGGTTTACAGAGTTATGGGGATAATGCTGACGGCATTCTGCAACGCGGCCTAACCTGAAACGAGAGCTCGGGGGGGAGGGGAGAGGAATCTGAGCCGACGTACTTCCTGGAACAAGCCTCTGGCCTTTTAAGGTCACCAGACGTGGCATGTGCGTACGCAAATAACATGTTTATATATGCAATAATAAACCAACCTTTTGAACAAATGACTCCACAGGTTGTGACCTTAATGTGATTGTGTGAAGTCCATCACGGCCCACTGGGTGATTGAGATTTACAGAAAGACATAAACTGCATTCCTATAAAAGTAGGAGAGATTTCCCTATTGCGTAGTAAAAGCACCAAGTTGAGTTTTATGCCTGTAATTATCTTGTGCCTCAAATTTATTGGAGGGAAACAGCACTAGTTTGGAAAATAAGGAGTCGACTGCAAAATGCATTGCGATGATTAAAGGTTGTGAACCACATGGCGCGCTGGGGCTCGTTTAGAAAAAAACTGGCCATGTTTTAGGAGTAACTTTGAAGGCACAGACAGAAAGTTCTTTTTAACGGTTTATTGGCATTTTGAACTTTATGAAAATACATCACCGCAACCTTTTGTTGAATAGCAAACCATTTTTGACCTCCATTACTGGCCGTATTCCATGGATTGGACGGAAAAAACAAAAAACTGTACAGTAAACGACAAACCCAGTTGATGTACAAACATGCACCATGAGTAACAATATAACGTAAACATTGGGCAAAATAAAAATACACCCAATATCAGGCTTCCCTTTTATTATCACTATAGTAGCATTAAAGTACACTGGATGGAAGTGATACGTTAGATTCCACAACATTAAACAGAAGTGTGTTTTGTTCATCCACTAAACAAGCCAGTGAGAACGGGTACGAGCTACTGGGCTGCAATCAGATAGGACGCCACGCTCAGCGCCGCCGCCTCGATGGAGAACAGGTGGTGGTCTTCCACGTGCGGGCAGCTGCTCCTCATGAACTCTGCCAGCCGCAGCAGATACTCCAGGTTGTGGCCCGTCTTCCCTCTGCACACCGCGATCTGGACGCCGATGGCCTCCGAGCTGGCCGGCCCCAGGTAGAGGGCGTTCTCCGTGGTGGCGATGTACACCAGGGCCTGCACCGGGGGCTGCTGCTCCTCCCCCTCGGGGAAGAAATCCACCATCTTGGTGACGTAGCCTCCGCAGACGGTCTCGCGGACGTTCAGGTACTTCAGGGACTCTTCGACCTCACTGCCAGTCACCTCGAAGGCCACACCCCAAGTGCTCGCCTGGGAAAAGAGAAGGAGTCATTATAGGTTTGATTATTCAGGTAAAGCTGGAAACTCCCCTGCAATTTCTTTTTAAACAGCAGCTCTAGCTAAATTCCAGCCACGCCCACTTACGTCATCATCTTCAATCAGCGTCACCACTCGTCCGGGCTGCGGAGAGAGGAAGGGAAACGCGTCACGGACACGCCTCGTGCATTCAAGAGCCAAGAGTAAATAAGAAATAAGCCCAGTAAGAAAACAACAACACAACACATCCATTTAGCGTCTCACCAACTCGTCGTTGCCGCGGTGGAAGTTGTCTCCGTGCCAGAAACGTCTCTTGTAGCCTTGAATGTAACCGACCTGGCTCCTCTTGTACTTGAAGTCGGGCTTCCACACCAGAGAGCCGTACCCGAAGATCCACAGGCTGGTCTTCCCGGCGATGACGTCTTGAGGCTTCATGTCTTCTTTTTAATAATTTAAAAAAAACAAAACACTGTAGACGACGTTGAGATGAATCGATGAATCTCTTTGCGGTGACGCGGTTTCGCCGAAGGCGACTAGCTAGCTAGCGTTAGCTTCCTCCGGTCCAGCAGCAGCGGTACCGGTTGGCTCGCAGGTATACCGCGGACGGTATTTGAGCCCAGCTGTTTAGCTGTTGCGAAGATGGAATTTCGCAGTGGGTTTTGCCTTGCACTATGCATTGCCTTTGCATTAGAGGTGCCGCATTATGCCTTAAAAATCCATGGCAGCCGATGCGGCCTTCAAACCAATGGAACACGGGAAAAAAAACAACACGGTTTCGGCCAGCAGCTCCGCCGGCCGATGACGTCAAAGCTAATAAAGTATAAACGATCGGGGTTCGATTCAGCGGTGGTGGCGTTTGTCGAACACCGTCAGGTTGATCTTCTCCTTCCCGAGGAAGCGACGACGCTTTGAACCGTTTACCCGATAACATGGCGCCGTGGAGCTTACGTATTTATACCGGCCAGAGCAGGTGGGCGTGTCTGTCCGTTTTTTTAGACCAATGGTATTTAAGGAAAGCTGGTCCTCTAACCCGCTTTTATCCAAACAAATAACGCTGCACCGAAAATTGCGGGACTTTAAACAAAACCGGCTACATCATTGGCTCAAATATAACTTTCCACCTAAACTATTATTTCAAATTGATTGGCCGCAAAACTGTCACTCCAACTTACTCCCTTTCTAATTGGTCACTTGCTTTGTCATTCCCTGGACGTATGGACTTGTTGTTGAGAGCCGCTTGGCTGATGCAACCTCCCTCAGCATTTCAACCTTCAGGACCAATGCAGCAGCCAAGCAACATACCAAGTTCCTTGCATCAGACTGCATGTGGGAGAAGGAACTCTATGTAGGGCGATACTGTAGGCCACCAAAAAAAGCTAAAGCAGACATTAAGAGATTGTATTTGAAGTTAAGCTCGAGACAAATGCACTACATTAGCCTATTCCTGCTAGTGGGAATAACAGCCTGAGCACAGAGGGCCTAACAACAGCATTCATTCCTGACATGTGAGTAAATGAATAAACCCCACACACGGATGTTTAAGAGCCAGCTCACACGTCCGAAGGCTTTTCAAATGTCACCCGCTGCTGAAGATTCCTCATTCCTCTCAGCCCTCTGGACCCGATTGGCCCGCTTGCTCTTACAGAATTATTCCGACTTTGCAAAACGCACACTTGCACCCCCCCTTTAGAGGCCACATGCAGGCTCATCGAGCAGTCGGCATGTGTGACGCCTGAGCTCAATCACAACCCCCAGGTTTAGAACATGCGGACGACACATGACACACTAGAACCAAAAACCAGAAAGGCATGTTCACAAGAGACAATGACGACGGGAAACCCGATCAAGTGTACAAAAAGGCCATCCGTCCTGCTGGATCTGACATACTGGAATAGCAGCGGCTCATCTGCGCTCAATAGATAGATTATCTATTAATAGCTGGCATGATCTGCCCTGATAAATAGGCCGGACAACCTCATCAGCTCTCCATAAAGCGACAGCACCACCCAATCCAGGCCTTCGGGCGACGCTCCTCGTCACGCGGCGGCTTCCCAGGTTTTTAATGCGTGTGTGGGTTACGTGCTGTTGTTGGATGCTTTAAATCGAACCTCAAGTGCTCTCTGTGTTTTATTTTGGCACGCCGATAAACCACATTTCCCGTGTGTGAGCTTCTTACTGACACCTGGTGTTAATTAATGAGACAACTATGGAGGCGATGCGGGGCGAGGTCACGTATGTCTCACATGTCAGGAGCTGAGTGACAATGGAAAAGAGTCACAGACGTGGAAGAAGAAGAAGAAGAAGAAGCAGCGCTGAACTGTTGACCGTGACTCCGGCGTCACCATTTTTTGCCAAGCGTCGTGCGGAGGCGCTCGCACACTCCTAATGGCGAGATGGGAGGATTTTACTTTCAAAATCCGCTCGCCTGATCTCCACCCATGACATCCATCTCACAGACCCCCCCCCCCCTTTTCTCCCCCTCCCTTAGAACAGCCGCTGATTAACGCGCTTGTCCGCGCTGCCGCTTGTTTTGAGGCTGTTTCCCCGGGAGTGCCGATTGAGGAGAGCGATGCGTGAGAAAAGCGGCCGGCGTGTTTTCCGAATTTTTTTTTTAATCAGGGAGGAAACAGGAACTGATGTCACCGGGTCACAAACAGGATGCTGTGATTACAACACAATGAAAACGCCCGGCCATGGCGGTGGGGACCCAGGGGCCAAAGGGCAGAGCTCCCAGCGTGTGTCTGCCACCGCCGTGGAGCGCGAGAGAGGGGGCGGGCGTCTGGGGGTTTGTAGGTGTATTTGACGGTGGGAATCTGCTCTCAGGCTGGGTCAGGTGACAGAGCGAATAACGATTGGCTTCAACGCGGGTGATTCATCGTTGTTGTGGCATTCTTCGGCCGCGGTCGGGGAAAAGCACCCGTCTGCCCTCGGAGGAGGGGGGATGCCCACAGGCCCCCCGCGGGCTGCCCGGACGTGTGCGAGGGGAGAAGCCGTCCAGATTCTCTGCCGAGTGTTGATTGCTGGTGATCACGGGGGTGTGGACCCTCGCAGGGTCCCTGTTGATTGGCAGCAGCAGCAGGTTTGCATTCGACACGTTGCCAAAACACACACTTTCACACATCCTCTTCAGCGCAGATGCGTGCGCGACACATCGGGGGGGATGAAACTGAGCAGACGTCGCTAAAAACAGTCGTTTCATTCGCGTGGATTCCGAACAGACCCACCGTTTGCCCCCCGCCCCCTTCTTCTGGTGCCAGGCCCGCTCCCCCGCTCTGCGTTTTACGGGTGGGTGCCACACAGCCGTGCATTGAAATATTGCTCTTAACCCTGAAGGGGAGGCCGGCAGTTGGGGGGGTGGAGGTGGTGGGGAAGGGGGGGGGGGGCTGTAAGTACTCGAGTGTGTGTGTTTTTTTTATGGGAGGGGGGGGTCTGTGCACTTTGTGTCATGCACACGGGGCAAGAGGCCTGGCATATGCTGCTGTTTTTATGGCACCACAGACTCCGTCCCAGCTCCCCCCACGGCATCTGTTTGGCTGGCTGTGTGTGTGTGTGTGTGTGTGTGTGGGCTGGGGGGGGGCGTTCCCCTTTTGCCCCGCGCATGGCTTTGTTTTCCAGCTTGAGGGGGGGGTGGTATCCGTGGAAACGTAATTTGAATTTCAAGCCAATTTAGGGCCGGAGTCGGGGTGGGGGGGTGTGGGGGGGTTACTGTAGTACTGCAGTGATGCTACATTCAGGGGGCTTTACGTCCAAAACATTAAATCCGAAATGTGAATAAGTCAAACGCAGTTTTTAGCTCTGATTACGCTTATGAGCACAGGATGAAGAAACAATGAATGAATAAATGAATACAAGACACATTTGATCATCTTTTGTTTTTGATTTCATTATTTAAAAACACCTCAAAAATAATTTCCTTTTCCATCCACTGACATCAAATTAAAAACAGTTTTCAAGGAAGTTTTATTCTTCAGAAGTTTGGTCCTTATAAATATGCATTATATACAAAATAATATTATAAAACATATAAAGAGCAGTGTGTCATACTTAAATTAAACTCTGGAAATAATCATTTAAAAAAATTACATTATTGGTTCTGTATTTTTGAAATGTATTATAGGCAGGCAGTGGTGTGACAGTCTCTTCTTTGCTTTTCTCAGTCGGGTTTGCATAAAAAAAACACACATTTCTATGCAAACGTTTCGCTTGGATCTTGCTGGCACTGACTAACTGGCTCCTGTTGATTAAAAACTATTCCCCCTATTTTGTTATTGTAGTGCAAATGATCCAAGAACAGACAAGGGCACAAATTTAGCATCCACCCCCCCTCGGCCCCCGACTCTTTTAAGGCTTCTAGTGAATTTGGGCTGCATACTATCTTCACCGTTGCGTGGAAAAGGCCGACCTGTCACTTCCACTTGATTGACAGCTGAAGATTAGTTTCAGACATTCGTAACTCTCAGTGTTTGTGAGGTCGGATCGCGACCGCGGGCGAGTTCACTGCCCCCCGCCCTGAGTCTTGCATAGCGGGCGAAGAAGCTGGCGGCAGCGAGTGTGTGTGTGTGGGGGCGGGGGGGGGGGGGTCGGGGGTCCCCGAGGGGGTCAAACCGTAGGCACCTTTTCTCCTTCCTTTCTACGTGATTATCACAGGACGCCGGGTCCGAGATCCGCCGCCGCCGCCGCCCTCCGCCCTCCGCCTGGAGTCCCGGGCGGCCCGGGACGGTTCCGCCGGTCACATCTGAGAGTCCTTCACTGTACAACGCTTTGCATACAAACACTCGGTCGACATAAAGTTTCTCAGTTCTGTTCTTTTGTTTTTAAACTTAAATTCTCTACGCGGAGCAGACGTTCCTGCCCTCCACAGTTCTCAAGTGTTCCAGAGCAGCAGTGGACATCTAAAACAATCTCCAGTCCCGTCTCCAAATTTGTAAACAATCCAGAAGTATCTCATTCTGCCTCGATTGTGTCTTTTTTTTTCTCCTCGTTCTCCTCGCCTTCAGATTCCTCACAGTTTATACCTGAAAGAAAAAGGAGAACATTATGGTCCGAAACCCGATGGAAAGCAAAACAACAAACCGGTCGTGCTTCCGTATCGCCGCGTTATTTTCCTTGGAAATGAACATCCGAAAAATGCCACAGCGTGTAACACACAGCCCCCCCGAGACCGAGCCGAGCCAAACATGTGTGAGGAATCAGGCCTCAGGTCATCAACACGGCCCAGATGTTTTGAGATATCAATAATCCAATTGATCAAGATCCCCCATTCCCCTGAGTTTAGGTCCAAATACCTAAATAGTTAATAACCGCTGTCATAAATGTTGCTGCGCTGGTGATGGACGGCGCGTTTCGTGTGGAGGATCTGCGGAGATGCAGAGGAGGACGTGGGGGTTTCCTTTTGTTGGCTTACCTCGGTTGCTATGACGCACTCCCTCCTCGCCTCTCCTATAACAAATACCGACTGGTACATGGAGTCTCTTGAGGGACGTATCGTTGATATCCTGCACTCTGGCTTTTCACTGCGGAAAACACAAATCAAACCGGCGCGTTAACGCAGGGCGCGCCGCGCGCTGACGCGGCAGGAAGCGCATGGTGCATGCGGATCTTACCTGTACGTTCTGCTCAACGGCATTTTGTCTTCTAAACACTTCTCATAAATAAGACTTTTTTCCTCCTGTGACGGTTCATCCTTGAACTCCTTCGACTTCGAGTGGTACGAGTCCAAGTGATAGTTTTTATGGATAAAGTTTGATTTCTCCGAGTCGCAGTCCACCTCCATGCTCACTTTCTGGTTGGTGTTCTTCAGCTGGCACTCGGGGATCAGGTTGTCCTTCTGGACGTTGGACAAGTTGTTCATGGTCTCCGTGTCGCCGCGCTCTCCCCGCGCCTGCCCGTGGATGTGCCTCAGCGCCAGGCCCACCATGCACAGCAGCACCAGCAGCGCCACCAGGCCCACGGCCAGGGAGACCGCCGCCCACTGGAAGCCGCCCTGCGTCTCCCCGTTGGCCACCGGGGAGGTGACGGCGGCGAAGAACTCGCAGCGCGGCCCGGTGGAGCCCGACGGGCAGACGCAGGCGGCCGGGGGCTTGCCCGGCCCGCCGCCGCCGCCGGCGCAGACCCCCCCGTTGAGGCACGGTCGGAGGGCGCACTCGTCCAGGACCCTGTCGCAGTTGCGCCCCCCGTGGCCCGCGGGACAGGCGCAGGTGTAGTCGTTGATCCGGTCCTGGCAGGTGCCCCCGTTGAGGCAGGGGTTGCCGGCGCACTCGTTGACGTTGATTTCGCAGCGCTGGCCCGTGAATCCCGCGCGGCAGCTGCACTCGCGCACGCCGCCGTGGATCAGGCACAGCCCGCCTGCGGGAGAGGGGGAGAGGCGTTTACTACCGGCAGATGGCGATTCTCTAAATGAGAGAGCGGCCTTCTGGCGACATCAGAAAGAACGAGGTCTCCACGAGGGGGGTCTTATCCCGGGGACCCCACGCCAGAGGACGGATATATATATCGAGCCGCGCTGGACATTCGTCCCCTCGCGTCAACAACGAGCCGCGGGGACATTTACAAGCTGCTCCTCTGAGCTGCCGAGTGTTTACGCGCGGGACAATAGACGCCGAGTTCCCACCAATTCCTGTTGTTCCCCACTGCTTCCAGTTGCAGGAATTTGAAGGGGGCAGAAGGAGCGAGGGGAAGTTCAGATAAGAGGGGTTGGGGGGGGGTAAAGAGGGGGGAGGAAGGCCGTACCGTTAGCGCAGGGAAGCGACGTGCACTTGTCCACTCTCTTCTCGCAGTTGAGCCCCGTGTAGCCGCGGGGACACTCGCACATGTAGCTGCGCCCGTTGTCCTTCTCCCGGCATTTGCCGCTGTGGAAACACGGCGAGTCGGCGCACGTCAGCAGGCCGTGCTCGCAGTGGGAGCCCTCGAAGCCGTGGGGACACGTGCACTTGTAGCCACTGTCCAAATTCTAAGGGGTTTCGGAAAAGACAGAAAAAAACGTTAGGCCTTCTTTGGGTTTGAGAAGCATGGAATGCAACGCGCCGGCTTCCCGCTCACCGTGCAGGTCGCGCCGTTCCTGCAGGGGTTGCTGTCACACTCCTGCATCTCCAGCTCACAGTTGACCCCCGTGAAACCCGGCAGGCAAGTGCACGTGTAGCTGCCTTGTCCCGTGTTCATGCAGGTGGCGCTGTTCACACAGGGGTGGTGATGGGTGCAGAAGTTCAGGTCTAGGTGGGGGGGGGGGGAGAGTGTCTGTTTACCGGGAGCTCGACGGAGGAACAAAAAACAACAACAAAAACCCCCCCTCTGTACCCCGGATGTGTGCAAAGCAAAAGGAAACCTAATTCACTAATGCGTTCAGGTGGATTCATATGAAAACAGTGCACCACGTAACACGAGAAGATCTTTCTAAGAAGGAGCAGCAGCAGTGGTGCAAGTTGTCCGGTGTACCTTGGTCACACAATAGGCCTCCCCAGCCCTCCTGGCAGTTACACTGCCACGGCAGCTGGCAGGTGCCGTGCTTGCAGGCCGGATACTTCTTACACTCGTCACAGAAGGTTCCCTGCCAGCCTTCTCTGCATCTGCGAAATGAATCAATTGTGTTATTTTTTTAGTCGCTTATTCCCCCGTATCGTAGACCTCGCAATTGCCGTGAATAACATCACTGAATCTGGTGGTTCAAAACGGCCAATTTAAATTCTTTTTAAGTCATGCAAACTGTTGCTTGGGATTAAACGGGAGCAGACGCTTTTTGCTTCACAGCCCTGTTATGGATTAGCTGCAATTACTTCAAGAAAGCCGCCGTAAATCGTACAGCCATTAGACATTAATAGCCGACCCGCAGCGTGACACAGATCCTCACATTTTCGTTTCGCGTTTTCCCAACATGATGACATCGTTACACATCAGTTATTGCGAGTAAGCAACATTTGTTTATTGTGTAACCACGGTGAACGATGATGTCGTTTTTATACAAACAATGTGACCACGGGGCAAACGCAAAAGGTGAAATATCGCCAACAGCTGAGGCATTTTTTGCCCTGTTTTGTTTCCCATGAATCTGTTTCGACCTTGTCGAGCCACGATGTCCTCGGACTCAGGACGCACTTTTAAGGTTTCCAGCAGAAAAAAACAGTTTGAAAGCCAGCAGCTTTACGCCGCAGCGTATCTCGTGGGTTAAGCCCACATTTGGGTCAGTTTCAATGATGGATTTATCTCTGAAAAGAGGGCGAAATAGAATTCGGGAGGAATTTCTCACAGCGAGTGTGTGTGATTTATCCCTGCTGGTGACAAGAACGGAACATGGGAAGCAGAGAAGCCAGTGAGTGACTTGGGGGGGGGAGACGAGAAAATATTTGTTGATTCAAAGAGCTCCAACCTCCCGTGATAAACGCTATGAATGCCAGACAAACGTGTGTGAAGGAATAATTAATATTACGGGAACTTGAAACGGACGCAGAGTTGCCGCTGTCGAAAAAGGGGGTCGGTGAACTTGAAAAAGTGGGTTTTCACAGAAACTCTCCACCCGCTTGTAACTCGCAGCGTTCCCAACCGGGTTCCTTCCTGCGCAACGGGCCGACACCTACTTCAACACCTCACCATTATTAATACTTACACACACTCGCCAGGTTTGGAGCAGTTTCCGTTCCTCTCGCTGCAGCCCTCCAGGCAGATAGCTGAAAGAAAAAAGAGGAGGAAACCACGTACAGTCAGGTCTACTGTTCATTTTTGTTTTTCGACGCAATGCATCAAATATTACATCTCACAGCTTTCAAACCGTGAAAAGAAAGAACCAGTGAGAAGAACGCTGAACACGCCAAAAGTCAAATCGATAGGCGCTGAAATGCCGCACAACGAAGGCCTCACAATGACGGCGCACGAGGCCTCAACCCGCCTTCATCTGAACCCGGTTTGGTGTGTTTGCGGCGCTCTGGCGGCAGCGTTTCGGGCGGCCTGCCGGTAAACGGCGCCCCGGTTTATCTCGGAACAGATGCTCGCTCTCAATAGCAGGCAGCTGTCACTATTGTTGTTTGCGGTCGGGCCAGAACCGTATTTGCAGCTGCCGCCGCCCCGCGCGCGCTCGCACAACAATGGAAGGTTGACTAACCAGCGATGGCGCGTGGCGGGTAATAATGCCGCGATTAACCTTGGCGCGTGCAGTCGCACGGACTCCTCCTATTAACCCCCCCCGACACACCCTCTCCTCTGCGGATTATGTTACCGGGCGCGCGGTACAGTGAGAGGGTACAAAAGAGATGAAAAGAACACAGCGAACCCCTCCGCTGTGGATGTGACTTTCTCTGTACACACATTGTGACAAACCGCCAGCTCGACGTGCACCTGTGGAAGCTGCTTGGCGCCATTTTGACAAACTAAGGAAATAGCCGAACTAAGAGGCCTTAATTTGGCTTTTCCAGCTGTGTTTTTTTTTTTCCAGCTTTATCGTCCTTTGATACAAACTTTCTTCCACTTCCCTAAATTGTTTGGGCCCAGTCGGGCAGAGCGGTAAATCGATGTGTGTGCGAGCGGAGAAACTACAGTGTCCCACAGACGCCCAATCTATCTTCCCCGTGTATATTTTCTGTAGTCACCGACGATTGATGTGTCTGTAATTGCAACACGTGAGCCCATCTGGTTAGAATTCGGCGCCACAGTTAAAATAGCGCACGCCGATTTCTCTCTCACCACCGCGAGTGACAGCGATGACAGATCCGTCACCCGCGTGGCCGCGTACCCGGCACATGGTAACCATTACCCCCGCAGTGCCCGCCCTTCCAGTCTACACTTTGACGCATTTGTTTTGGTGAAAGGGGCCCGGTATCGTGCGGGCCGAGTGGCGCGGGGGCCCATTCGGAGTCACGTGCCTGTTGTGAGCCGCCTGCCCCTCGAGTCCAAATCAACGAGTTCGCCCTCGAACCCACGACCTAATTATGTGCTCGCAAAGTTCCATTGAGTCGCGTCTTGTTATTGCACTCGAAGGTGATGATCTTTGGGTTTCGCTTCTGCTCAACAACTACTCATATCTGTCATTTGTGCGTGCGCCCGAATCGTCAGGGCAAAGGTCACGTGTGAGGAGGAGACCTCGCAGAAGGAACGACTCTTCAAGGTAAGGTCTTTCTGCGCCAAACCTAAAAAGAGTCCTTACCAGACCCCCGACCTCTGCCTTTCATTTGCAAAACATCTGGACGACCCTCATGTGTTACAAGAATACATCGGCCCGCGAGCCAGTAGGAGATCGCTTACGTTCTTCGCAGTATTTCCCTTTCCAGCCAGGCAGACAGGACAGCTGCCCGTCGCGGTCGCAGGTGTAGTGGCCGAATCGGTCGTCCCTGGGCGAACATTTCTTGGAGCAACTGTCTCCGTAGTAGCTTTCGTTGCAGACAAACCGGTACGAATACCTCAGCTCTGTCTGATCTCCGGTCCGCGTATCCGGAGACCAAGCGGTCCCTACGCCCATCTGTCTGTGGATGGCCATAAAGCTTATCAAGAGCTCTGGGTTGTCGGTATCTGAAAGGAGGAGGAAGTGCGAATGAATGCAGGATATCTCAGCCGGCGACCTGTTCGCAGGGGGGGGTTATTGTATTTTATGTCAAGAACTGCATCGCAGATAGCTCGTGGGTTCAAAAGTCGTCCACTTTCGCTTTGGTAATCTGCCCGGTGCCAAGCTGCATCCCTTATCCAATCCCACACAGTGTACATGAAAGATAAACCCAGGTTTGAATTTCCTCTTTCTTTCCATCAGCGAAAAACATTCCCAGGCCCGGTCACCCTCTTCCAAAGGGCGGAACGGAGTAAGGTGTAAAATACAGGAAGATGCAGTCAGGGTTTCTTGGCAGGCACTGTGTATTCTCACCAAAGCCCTCGGCTCTTTCCCACGACCAAAATAAACCAGAGGAAGTTCAATTGTATTGGGCATAAGAATGAAAAAGGTGTTCTGAAGTTCATAACAAAAGAGTGAATAGGCCAGAAAATGTGTGAAATTAGGAACAATTTACAGGGGATGGAGATGGAAACGCAGCGACATTTTTATTTATTTTTTTTTGGGGGGGGGGGGGACAATTTATGCAAAAATGGTATTTGGAGAAGCTTGTGCGTTAAATCTACAGACGGGGCTCCCTCCTGTGGTAAAAAAGACGGTGCACTTACCTACAGGTAGATTTCCATAAGGTGAATGCCGAGCTTCAATTATTAACGAAAACGACCCCTAAGAAGAAAAACACGCAGTTAGTTCAAATCTATTGTTTCATTTCTTTTAGCGCGACTCACATTTGCATGTTACACGATGCTCTACGCGCGTCTCCGGCGCATTACCCAATGGCGCGGATTAAGAGCTCACCAATAACCGGCGCGCTGCCAAAACGCTCCCTGCATCCCTCAAACAACAAAGAAATCTCTCTATCGATCCAGCGGCATGACAGAAAAGAACGTCCAATGCGCACATCCGGCGGCTCTTACCGGCCACCCGAAGGTGAAGGGGATCTGAATCGGTCTGGGCAAAGTGCCGCCGTCCTTTGCGCTGAAAGAGTTGGTCCCCAGCACCGCTGTCACCGTACTCCCAAAGATGCAGCCGCCCGGCGACACCACGGCCTGATAGTTCTTCAAGCAAATTCGAAAGTAAGTCCTGCAGTTGGGTTTGCACGCGTTCCCGTTCGCCAGCAGCCCTTTGTGGTTTTTAAATTCGTGGAGGTCCACCTCAAAAACTCCCGATCCGAAGGCCTAAAAGAGAATGGAATCACATTTACAAAAAGGTCGTTTCTGTTAAATATAGATTTTATTTTATTTCTTTTTTGGAAGGAGAAAAAAAAAGGAACATGACACTCAAATGTCTCCCCGGCCGGAGGTCTCGGGACCACCGGGGGGAGGGGGGCGCGTTGTCGTCCCTCATACCTGTGCGATCAACGTGGTGCTCACTGCGATGGTAAAGGTGAACCAGGCTGCCATCCTTCTCGCTTCCCCAGGGCAGCCGCGTCACCGGCCAGCGAAGCAGCGCGACCGCGTACAGTGTTTACGCCAAGCTCAGCAAAAAGCGACAAATAATAATCCTTCTTCACTCCAAGGGAGTTGTCCCGTAGCTCCCCGTCGGTGCGCGCCAGACGCGTCCACAGGAAGCCTTTCCAAGTTATCCAAGAGGTGAGGGGGGACTAGTATCCAGCGTGGCTGCGCGTCTTTTTGTCAGCAGGCGTCCCCTACTTGCGCGGTACTGTATCCACAATGGTCCGTCCGCTGCGCGCGCGCGCCTCGCGGCTTGTTTTGGTGCTAAACTTTGGTGCGTCGGTGCGCCGCGGATGTTCGCCGCTCGTCTTATTACTCGTGAATGAACCGGGGCGCGCGTCTCCTCCCAGATATATAGAATTGCACTGCGCCGCTCATTACATAAACTGTCAATCACCCCCGCCGTCACCGCCCACCTCTACATATTCAACCCCCTTCCCTTCCAACCCAACAACAATTATCCAGATTTAATACCCACTGGCACTGCGCACGCTGACCACCGCGGATACTGGGCGACTATTAACGACCCCTAACATCTGTTGACTTATTTATAGCGTGCAATGCGCCCCGGACACATATTTCACACGTCGTGGACGGTGGGACAGTGGGACGGCGGGACGGCGGGACGGCGGACGAGGACAATGAACCAGAGCCCAAACTTCCAGAATGGAGAGCAGCGATTCAATTACTGCCGTCCTCCCTGCACCCTCTCGCCCCGGGTTCCGCTCAATTGCACGCGTAATTAGCCCCCCAGCTCCAGCCGTTGTGCTCACTATTTCCTTTCAAGACCCTTTATCCGGGGGGAAGGGGGGGGGTGGTCACGTGCCTCTCCCTCGGGCTCTATCGTGGAGGATCAAAGTAAAAAACGCGTTTAAATGTAAAATCTTTCCAGTGTTGGTTTGAATAGCTGCTGGTGGAGAAATGCACTTTTTTTTTCTTTTTTTTCAAAAACATGTCTCTAAAGGCGCACAGTGTGCGGAGCACGCGCCTCAATGTCTATAAATCAACCCATTGCTTTGTCCTGATCGATAACACTGATAGGGATCCGTCTCCTTTTACGCGCAGACGCACAATCTCCCGTGACATGTTGTTTCGGGTGTGTTTCATCTCGGTGGAGGCGAGTGCCCCTTTATGCCCACCCATGCGTTTTACCGTTTAGAGGCAGCGTGCCTCCTATTGTTGTGGCGCGTGTCCCCCACCTTCTTCCCCCCCCCCTCTCTCTCCCTCTCTCTCTCTCCCTCTCTCCCTCTCCCTCTCTCTCTCTCGCCCTCATGCGGGTGTAATGTGCATGGTGGACATAACTACTCAGCTGTATGCAAATGACCTCCCTCTTCCCTTCGCATACACACACACACACACACACACACACACTGACACACACACACGTGCACAATCATCTGGGTGTGTAAAATTGGTTTCTTCTTCCCCTTGGCCTTTCACAGCTAATGGGAATGACGGGGGGGTCGAGCCACGTCGGATTGAGATAAAAGATTTAATTCGATGGCCTCGTATGGAGCGCGGTGATAAACGGACGATCCCCCCCCCTGCACGGATCAGTCGGCCACGAGGGTGAAAATAGCTTCACTCACTGTTAAATGCTGTCGAGGATGAGTGATAGACTGCATTGTATCATTGAATCAGGAGGAAAAAGCCCCAGAAGGAAATAGTCCCTAAAAATCAAAGAAGTTTAAAGTGAAAAACAAATGGAATGAACACATGGCGAGATGTTTAAGTTCAACACTCCATCGCTTTCGTCTCCGGGTGGTCTGATTGGTTGCGTTTGTTGCTGGATGGCTGGCATCTCTCTCGTTTACCATCTGGTGGGAGGCTGGCAGCTCCGTCTTCTTTCGTCTGTTCACGGGGAGGACGAGCCAATTTCCTCCAACCTGTTCGTCTCAATTCTGCTTGGCATCCGTCGTCCCGTTTGTGGAAAAAAAAAGAACTACAGTTACCCAGTAATAAGGACGTGTTATTTCCCACGTTGTCGAGCCTGGAAACATCACGCAGCCACACAATTTACCCACAATTACCCACACGCGGAGAGGATACAGTCGGCTTCTGTCAAATATGACGATTTCTATTAGTGTTTTTAACTGTGCACGTGATTCAAATCTCCATCTATCTTTGCCTCTGACCTGCACGTGATCTCTGAGTGTTTGCGCTCCTGTGCGCTGCTGAGAGTGAAACTGGAAAGCGTCTATATTTATTCAGCGTTGTTGCGCGCAGCGGATCGGTAGAGTGGCCCGCCGTGTTGACACACCTGTTGTGTCTCCAACTGGGTCCACACAGAGACACAATGGCGTTGCCCGTGCCCTCTGTGTCCACAACGCCCTCGGACGCCCACTCGGGGCTACTCGTTGACAGCGGGGCTTCTTCTTCTGGGGTTCTTTGAAATCTGCGGGGTGGGGGGTGGGGGGGTTTGGGTGCGTTTGTTTGCTGAGCAGCAGCAGTATTAATCAGCGCTTAACGTGTTTGCTCTCGGTGCCGCTATACGAGGGGGGGAATTAAGTCGTAATCGCACGTTGGCCTTCATTATCTCGTCGCCCGCTCTGCCAGTAATGTTTTCTAATGGTGAATATTACACATCTTATCTCCTTTTACGGCCGTGTGTCTCCAGTTCAGCTTCCAACTAAACTGCCGTAATAAAAGGGGACAATTTCAGCTCACGGCAGGTTTAACAGGTGGGCACAGCTGATAAGGCGACACTCTCACCTAAGAAGAAAAGTGAATGATGTGTAAGCAATATGTTCTTTTCCATGCAGAATAAACAAACCGCACACACGGGCCGTGCTTTGTCGTGGCGCCGTCCGTGTCACGTGGTCTCTGCTTTGATTTACCTCGACAGGCCCTTTCGTCTTTTTGGGGTACGATGCATTTTTTTTTGGTCAAAAACAAACCTGTTGGTTCAGCGTGAAAGAGATTTAAAGAGTTTAAAACTGAGCAGGTTGTAAAAGAAAAACTTAAATGAAATGAAATGTGTGCAATATAAATCGACAGCACAGTAACGGTACGTGAAACCCTAACGAGGGAAATCACTAAAGCAGGAGCCTCGAACCCGCGAATCAATCATCAATCACACGGCCCCTCGTATTATCACACGCTTGCTCCCCCAGCGAGGCTGCTCGGACCCCTTCTCTGGACCGCCGGCTCGGACCCTGCACAAGACGTCCCCATCAAAGACCTCCGCTCTCCAGCGACACAGCAGGGCCCGGGCCGAGCAGGCCAAGGGGGTCACACCCGGGTCTTCATCCAGAAGCTTTGATGTTTGCACACGTGTGTGTGTGTGTGTGTGTGTGTGTGTGTGTCATGGAGGACGAGGGAAAGCATCTCGTCTTCACGTCTCCCCTGCTTCCCCTCCTCTCCTTGTGGGATTGTTCCGTCTGCTCGACGGAGAGAACTCTAAGCTTCCCGTTCTCACCGTTTGGGCCACTTGTCAGCGCAAACAGGCCGAGCGGTCGCCGAGCGGCGGCCAGAGCGTCTATTGTTGTGGATGGAATGTGGAAAACGCCGCCGTATTAAAGGTGAAGCTGGATCGACGGCGTGACGTCAGCCTCCCGTTCACCACCTGCTATGTGTGAGTCACGAGTGACCAGAGGAAGGTAAAGCTGAGCAATTGTATTCATGGGAAATGGGACACATTCCGTCCCCACTTATGATAAGAAAAAAAAAAAGAACTTGACTTTCAATCAGTCTGGAAAATATGTGACGTGGTCCCAGAAACACCCAGAAAGTCATTTTATACAGATTTAGTAAGTTAATACTAATGAAGTACCTGTTATTCTGACCATGAGTTCTACCCGGTCATCCATCTCTGTGGCCGCACATCAAAACAAGAAAAGCCTTTTCCGTATCGTGCGTCTAATAATAAACGTGGCTGAGCGATTTTTCACGCTGACGAAAAAAGCCGCGAATGTTTCTTTTGCTTTTGCTGCAGAGAGCGAGAAGAACGAAGGCGCAGGTTTTGGTCGCCCGGTCACACGTGGACTCATTTAAAGCCTCGACGCAAACAGAAAAGTAACGGAAGCACAGCGGGTGAAACGGGTTCCCAATCACGAGAATGTGGCCGCGGACGCACTGCGTTGTTAAGCGGGCGGACGGGGGCCACCTGTTGTATTGATCACGGGGGTCCCGTCCAGTGAAGGGGGGGCCAACGCGTTGGAGCGGGGGGGGGGGGGGGGGGCTGCGAGGCCAGAGGACGGGAGGCAGATTTATGACCCCCCCCCACCCCCCCCCTCCCGCCCTCCCCCGGAGCCGCACCTGAAAAAGCCCCCTTGAGGAAGTCCACGGTGACCCACATGAAAGCGGATCGGAGCCTCTCTGGCGTTCTCATCCGGCCGCGGCCGCAGGCGGAGGACGTGACCCACAGAGGCGGAGAAGTTAAGAGCGCTTCGCTCCTTTGATGAACCAACGTCAAAGTTGAATATCGTAAATCGCTCTGAAACCCGAAGTCCTTTACGCAGTTATTCGATCCGCGAAAAAACACGTTTACTGGTTTTCTCTGGTGGGAATGGGAATAACAGTCACGCCATTTTGGATTTAAGTGGCGGAAATATACCGTGGATGTGTGACCAGACCCAAAGGCAAACGTTGACCCTTCACACATATGTGCCCCCCCCCCCCCACCCACCCACCATGTTCTGTTTTGGAACTTTCTTTCTATTAGTCTGACTTTTCGGTGTTTACTACAAACAGCCGTGGACCAGCACCCACCTGTGGACGAGTCCACCGGCAACACCGGCCGCCGGGGAGCTGCTGACCGTCGCCAGAACTCACCTTCCCCGCCGGCGGACGGGGTGGAGGTCAGCTGCTCCTCAGTTCAGTTTGGGGTCCAATGAGTTGCTGAGCAGGAATAAAAGTCTCAGTCGTCGGTTGGATTCGAGTGTAACTGAAGTCCAAGTGAATCCAAAACAGATTCTCCTGCTTTGAGGGAATTAAATAAAATGTTTCAGTTGCACAGAAAAAGGCTTCTCTGAAAAGTGGGCAGGGAGCCTTTAGGGGAAAAAAACCCTTTAAATTGGAAGCAGCGTGTCTGTTAATGAAATTTAGGTGGGATCGCATTATGGGACCCAGGTGGAAATGATTCACAAGTCATGCTGTGATTACTGAAATGATCCCGAGCACATAGATCGCATGAATGTTGCGGCCTTCGGCTCGCTTCAACCCTGGTAGCCATGGAAACACAGGGTCTATAGGCTAAATATAGTGACAGCCGCTTGCTTGAAGTTGATTCAAGCATTGGATTTCGTTTCACCACGAACACAGAACCTTCGTTCGCTCTGATAATTATTGCTGAGAACAAAATCGTGAGCATGTAGTGCACGATAGGCCGCCGATTAGCAAG